CATCATTGCGCTCACGGCCATTCTTCTTTCCCTAATTCCCCGTCCGAATAATAATGCCAATATGGCTGCAGTAACGGCGGCGTTGACGCAAGCCCAACAAAGTCGATCTAGCACCGGTACCGGCCAAAATACACCTGGAGCCACCGAGAAAGATAAGCAACAAGATGTGCGAATGGGCAAGATACAGCGTTTCGCTGCTTTCCTTGCTGAGAGCACCGTGGATATTGAGGGTATGATAGACTGCACACAAGAACTGATTTCGTTCTACGAATGCCACGAGCAGTATAATGATAAGATAATGCGCGAGCAAGTTAACAGATTCGTCAAGGCCAGAGGATTAGACAAGCACTAGATTCGTCGTCACCAAAGGTTAGATGGCGTGTTACATGAACCGAAAGAGAGGTGGGTGGCGGTCTTTGGTGCTCGTAAAAGGCACTGGGATGTTTGAGAGACGTCGCAAAATGTTCATATAACAAGATGACTACATGTCAACAGCGATTGATACTACCTAATATATCTACGAAATGGTAAAATATGAGGTTTGACCCGGAATCCACGTATCCAACTTTCAAATCACACGCGCTCCGACTAAGAGATATTGAATTAGAACGGAGGTATTGACGAGTTGCTACAGGGATAAATTCCGACCCCCCCGTATGCATATACATAGTGAATATTATGTGATGATATCAACATGCGGGGGACCGAGAGGTTGGAGTTTGTGTAAGGCATGATACCCATCTGGAGTGAATATACCAATTACGGGAATGCTGTGTGTGTTTCCTAGCTAAGGCAGGTAATATTTATTATTGGAATATTGGAACACTTCCGCTGTTTCGGGAGCCAATTTTTTCAATGCACGTGGTTAGGCTTTTAACTCTTTAGAAGTTGGGGACTTCGAGGCTTTAACCTAGTGTATGCAGAATGCAGATCGAAGGGTGCTCGATACGAAATCATAATCTCATCTAGGCATTGTCCAAGACCCATAAACCTTCACATGCAGAAAGTGTGGAAGGGTAGAAGGGTGGAAGGGTGGAAAGGGTTACGCTGATGATAAGAACGTACCATACCATGTAATACCATGTAAGGTTCCCCGCAAGACGGGATCGAATCCGATATAATAAATCACGTCAAGATGTTACACGTTACGTCGAACAGTTGGTCGGTGCCGCCGTAAGCGAAGCAATTCTATGTAACCGGCCGGCAAGCTCCATGAAGTCAAATGCCATACAGATTTTTATATAAGATAATAATTCGTCATATGTATTGTTGAGATCCTCGAGAACGTGTGTGTCTCATATATAGACAGTATAGGTACCTATAAGTAAATGAATATACCTAATGTACATAGTACATAACATTCAATATTAAGTGAAACTGGTGTAAAACGGAAGGCCAATGGAGCAATGGTCTTGTTTAAAAACGGTCAGTTACAAGAAACGGCTGTGCCGCTCAGCCTCCGCCTTAGCTAAACTTACATTCGTATATGGTCCGAGCTCGGTACTTCTCCACCTTGGCGTGTGCATGTACCTAAGCTTACAGCAAGTGCATTGGGTAACGTTGGGTAACACGGCTTGGAAAGACTTGCCTAGCCCTTAGTCAGACTCGCTCTCTAGGTACATAGTACATATGTAGTGTACAACCACCACATCTACAACCACCACATCCACAACATCCACATATTGTCAACTTCTAACAGGAGTATGTTCCAGCACAAGATGTATGGATGAGTATACCCACTAAGAACCTCATACTACATACACTACCTTTCATCATGAGATACTAATGGAAAGCCTAAAAATTAAGCCTCTTTCTCGATCCCCCAAAAGAGAAACAGCAAATGGAAGCTAACAAGCACCTGATACAACAAGCCGCATATTTGATCGGAACTAGAACCGGGATTCTCCTATATCGGTAGATCTACCACATTCGGAATTCATTACCCAGAATTTCTCGATTGTTCTCCCCGAGCCGGGGCACTAAAATAGTAGCAATCGCTGCCCTGACCGACTGCCTGACTTCGGTCTAGGAATATTAGATGGATGCCACCCAAAGACCTTCGAGAACAAGGCCATCGCTGGACTAAAACGAGTTGTGGGAAAAGATCCGCATACGTACATAACCCAATTTGGCCATAGCAAGATCAATGAACAGGTAAACGGCCATAAAGGATTGGGGTGAATGATTACCCATTCGTATCTAACTAACCTACACATCTATGTATACGGGTAGTACGTATGGGGTTCAATTTGCCGCTTTCGTCACAAGCGGCTGTAGGTATGTAAGTAAGACTGTTGTAATCGAACAAAGCGGGTAGCAGGGCCACAATCGTCAACGTCCCAGTCGGCGCAATTCAACTCTTCATCACTCGCAGAAGACTTTTCTACAACTGCGAGGGAACTCTTCGAATGCATTATCGGGCAAAATCGTGCAAGCCTCTCTCCTACTAGTGTACATACATACGTACATACAATATGTAGGTCTACACCATTCAGGGTCTATGAGTTCTAGGCTCCAAAGTTCCAGGGACCAGAGGCAAATTTCATTACACATGGCGGCAACTTGCGTCTTCCGTTGGGCGGTCACTAGCCACTCAATCGCGAATTTGCCTCCGACGACCCATGCTCTTATCTTACACAGGTGCAGACAAGCAACCAGATGCCAACCCATCACAGGTCGTGATAGGTTGGTTAACTGATCGGTGTTTTGGTCTCACAACCGTACAGATTTGAATAGAATATAGATCAGCAGCGCATATTACGTTTAACTTCAGGTGAGCAAGCGCCTGAATCATAACTTTCTCACACATATTCCAGCAAGCATATCGAGTGGTCGAGTTCGAGAAATGAAACTGCAGGACAAAGGCAGGAATGCTGTCAGCTCTTAGGAGCGCGGGAAATTCACCCGTTCCCTTGCAAAGTACCTTCTTACCTCGTCGAGGCGGTTGTGGGCGGTCAGAACCTTCTCTCTTGCCATCTTCCCTACGGTACAAGTCGTCTGCTAAGCTGCCTAATAAAAGGGAATAGACCAGCATTACCCCCGTCGTCCCAAACCCCAAGCAGTCTCATGCTGCACGAGACCTGGTCCGTACCCACTTGCACCGGTATGGTGGCTTGCAGGACTGGTATGTGCAATCCTAACGATTATACGTTTAGGGTAAAGCTCCAGTTCAACACCCATCATCTGCTCCACCGCGCAACAAGGGTTTCTAACGCCCAGACCCGGAATACTATATCACAGTATGTGTGAGTGGTCACAGTGACAGAGCGACTGGCAAGGCTGCAATCCCACGCAAGCCAAAGGACCGAACTGCCTCTAATTGGCCTAATTGGTACCGACGCAAGAAATTACCTACATAGGCCAAGCCGCCGCTGCAAGGCAGGTGTTGTATTTACTACGTTGTTGTCAAAGGGATACTGGGAATTACCTTAAGGACTAAATACCATAGTTACTCGTCAGTTTCGACAAAGTCGGGATGTGAACCATGAGATCAATCGAATATAGACCGTCATCCCTTTAAACTCTTGGTAGATGTGTCATTATATTCATTACGCTATGGGTAAAAGCGAATTTAAAAATTGGATTAGACAATTACCAATTAACCCCATTTAAAGTCTAGCGAGTTCCCCTTTAGGGACAAACCCGTCTATGCAGGAGTTGCCCCTGAACGCAAGGCAAAGCAGGTAGGGGAAGTTATTCAGGTTATCAATTTACCTAGGTTACGTTAACTACGTATATAGGTAGGTAACAAGGCTGGACCGTCGAAGGTTATGTAGAGAAAGCATCCTACTAGGTTACGTAGGTATGTATAGTCGCAAAATGGAGAAACGATCATCCATGCGAGGCTCGGGAATGCGTTGTTGAAAATGTTGGGGGGTTACGTACCTATCTAATTGATCTGACGATGGTGGGTTCATCAACGTCGAGTGGCGATAAAAATTAGGAACGATCATCGAGATGAAGCTATTCGCATTAAGACGATGTCGAACGATTCACCGATTTGGTAGATTGAAGCCATGTTCAACCCTCCCTCAATCGACCCACCAGCCCACCCAGTCAATACATACATAACGCCTTCGTCGAGTCTCCTGATATGCGCTGACTAGTATAGTGTACCTAACATAATAGTTGCTAGTTGCTACTATGTACAATATGTACATTGTAATATGCAAATGAGATAGGTTGGATTGGATAGGGCTTCCAAAGGGAACCAAATTGGCTTCCCCCCTCGACTGGTGCCGGCTGGTACTCTTGACCAGCCTCGTCCAGTAACCAGATGGCGCAGCTTGCAGGCTATTATTCCTTTGTCCCAGACCACAGCACGCGGACTCGCTACGGTAAATTAAGTCGGCAAGCTACCCGCTAGCGATCGCATTGCAGCGGACATCTGGTGATGGGTGACTGGTCAAGGGACGGCCAGCATTACAAGCATTACAAGCATTGCAAGCATTGCAATGTATATGGTTTGTTAGGGGGAACAGGCGGCCAAAGAGAGGCGTTTTGCAGAACAAGCCGACTGGCACTGTGGTATTCCTGCGAGCAATGGGGAAACAACTAATGTTAGGTACATAGGAACAACATAAGGAACAACAGCGCCCATCGAACCGGGCTCCAGAGCTAGTCCTCGTTTGTCTTAGCGTTAGGATATTAGGATATGCTATCCAATGATCTCAGGTGGCGACTCCAGTTTCATTCGCCAGCTCAATTCCCCACCCGCCATCAATGAAGGAAACCCTTGAGGCTTGTGGGTCCATAAGAACAGTGCGTTGCGCAGGCCTTGCAGGTTCTTGCAGATCTTACATGTCTTTGCAGCTTCCGCTATTCAATGTTGTCCTCCCACTAGGCCTTGTATAGACTAGCTCCAGGTCTTGAGCCAGCAAGCGACCCAAGCGTCCTACGAGTTCCCCCCCGGCCTTGACCCACCCTTCTTTGCCGCCTTCTGCTGTTCTGCTGCTTCTTGTCCATCCAACAAAATCCTTCGCCTTCTCCGAATCACAGCTTGCCCTTCTCCTCTCCCGCCTTCTTTTCTCTTACTCTTATCGATCCTACCACACTCACCCGTCCCTTAAACTTTCCAAGCCTTACCCCAGAAACGCACATAACCAAAATCTATAACCAAAATCTATAACCAATTTTACCACCTCTTAACAACAAACTTTCGAAAAGCTTATTCTCTCTTCTCTCAAATTGCCTAGACGAGTTTCTCATTGTTGTCTATCCTAGCCAAATTTTAATAGCGCAACGGTCGGCAACTTTAAAGCACCCCCAACCCAATCCAACAACGCACAGGACCGCCCGCACACACACACACACACACACACACACACCGCCACCCAACGTCTCTCCTCTGTCCAACCACTTTCTGTAATCTACGACAGCTACTTTGAAAAAGAAAAAGCATACTTTTTTACGCATGACCCTAAGGGAAGAACAATATCATAATGTCTTATTACAGCTATAACCATCATCAACCAACAGCACCCGCTCCTTCGGTTTCGCACAACCACCATGGCGGTCGAAACCGAAGAGCACCGAGGCTCTCTGTATCTCAAAACTCTCAGAAGCAGTTTCGTGGTGTGAGGAGCATGAAGGAGCTAAGTGAATCTGTTTCCGTGAATGCTTTCCGATCACAATTCGAAGCGAGCCGTTCTTTCGATCTCGAGGATGATATGGAGTTTTGCCCCAAGCTGTTGACGGAGATTGATGTGAGTCAGGCCAACACTGATGATATTGTTGTCTAATACGTCGCCTATTCTACATGGTCGTATCGATAACTCGTTCATGTACCAACATAGTACTAACCTGTTCGTCTATAGCTGGTGTCGATTAGCAGTGCTTCTTCCGACCGATCTTCACTGTCCAGCAACTCGCCTAATGCTTCACCCACGCAGCACCCGCAACAAGTTGCTTCTAGTTTCTCTCTCAACTCTACCTCTCCAGCTTTTATTCCTCCTAGTTTCCAAACTCAGCAGTCGAGTCTAAAGTTGCATGCACCCGCTGCCACCCGGGCGCGCAATGCCATCCCTATCATCAACCCCGCCAATGGCCTAACGATGTCCAGCCCGCCGCAGTCCGTTTCGCCTGCCCGAATGCAGCACATCGGCAGACGATGGTAGATGGCCTGTCGCCTCGCTTCCTCTTTAGATGTTGAGATGACTCATCATCTAACCACTCGTTTGCAGTTGTTCTGAACATCTTCTACTTTCCGTTTAGAAGACATTTGCTCCAATAGCAGCTGTTCATCTTGGCGGGCACCGGCACGGACATCAGGCATCAACGACACATCTTCAGGTCATTTTAGGGCTCGACTGCGGACTCCACCTCTACTCCACTTTCTCCCTGTATAAAACATCCTTATTCGACATATAACTAGTGTTCATCGTAAAACTTTCTCCGGATCTTCACGATGGGCGCGAATTGGCATTGAAGATAATCGATACCACCTGATTTTTGTTTGGTTTGAGAAAAAGGGAAAATCCCGATAATCCCGGTGTTCTGACCTCGAAAGATGGGGGCTGTTTGGGTTCGCAAATGGGCGTTTTAAGTTACGGCGGTTTTGCATTTCGTAATTGCATCGGTGTTCACGACACAACGGAGTCATCGGGTTCAATCTGGGAGCGGCACGATAAAGCGTCATCACGGGTTATGACATTTTGAGCAAAAAAAGAATACCACTACACATATAGAACAAGTGTTTGGCGACGAGGGGTTGGTTTCTATTTTGTTTAAGCAGGCAGGTGGTTCTTCCATCGGGGCGGAGTTGTGCTACTCGGCAAGGTCTTTTTTACATGGGAAATATCCGGGTCAAAGAGAATCTCAACACAAAGTAACGGGATTGGGTAGGCACTCGGGGTGTCTTGATTTTTATTTTTCTAAGCTCACGGCACGAGATGGGAGTTGGTTGCGCGGTGCTTTGGGGCTGCAAATACAGGGCTCATATTCATGTCATCATCATCATTGTCTTTTGTTTCCCTTTTTATTTTTACTGTCCTTGTATTACGGTCTAAGGATGAGAGGATACCAGTCCGTTTCTTTCGTATTATTCCCCCGGGCAAAGGTTCTACCAATTGGGTCAAGTGCATCACCAGGTTTCTTCTCTCGGGGCGATTTGGGGGAGGATGGAATCTTTGTGTATAGGAAATCATATTCGGGCGGACAAGCGCAGGCGGCGCAGAAATGGGTACACGCCAACTGGTTCCCTAACGGCTGTGTGGCGTTTACCTATTTTGGTGTTTGTGTGTGAAGATAAAAGAGAACGCCTCTTGTTGGGTGTCTTCTACCGTACATTCGATGTGTTCAATTGAAATGGGCGAAATATGTGCCTCTCACTTCTAAACCTCTACTGTGTTCCTGCATTTGTGATGGTGTGACTAGCGATCGTAGCGATGCTGTAACTATTGGTATGCTTATTGAGGGATATGGAAGTCAGACTGAGGTTTGGTATCCCAACTGTTGCCGTCTCGTCCATCTTCGGATCGGTCTAGCGGCGGTTATGACAGTCTAAAGACGAGTCGTGCAGGTCGGACTATCATCCGATAAACGCTGTGTACGCTATGCAGAGATCTATCTTTGGGTATATATTGTTTCTCGGTCGACTAGCCGGCTGGGCAACTAACTAATGTTATTTGCTACGCCTACCTGTGCATGTGTGTATCGCGTATGCATATTATATTATATATTATATATTATATATTATATATTATATATTATATATTTTATATCGGGCTGTACATACATACACACATACCTCATACATACCTATGTATAGGTAGGTAGGCATATCATGTATGCGCGCCGCCCCTTTCCCCGTGGTCTCCCCGTCGGGCTTGCTGCATGACAAAGGCCTGTCTTGCTCGTTTGAGTTAGTGGTCCGTCGGGTCTGCTCTGCTGCATATGCGGACGCCCCGCACCTCGTACCAGCTTCTAGTATTATGGGCAGATGGGACGGGTTGGGTACATACCTAGTTAGGTATGTACTGTGTAGGCAAAGATAGGAGGTACTTGAGGTAGGTAAGGTAAGGTAAGGTAAGGTAAGGTAAGGGAGGCAGGGAAGGAAGGAGATCTGCTGATTGACTTGACTGTGTCTGGGTGTATGTATGTTGTGTTCCTGACTCGGCTGCAGGTTGTCCGTTCGTCGGCCCGGTCAGGTGATGGGTAGGAGATGCGGTGTTGTGTTGTGTTGTGTTGCGTGCTTGGTGGGCGAGGCGGGAGACTAATGTAAGATTGTTGTTAGTACGAATATGTAGTTGTAGCTATAGCTAATAGTTAGAAGATATAACTAAGTAAGTTTATTTCGTAAGTTAGGTTAGGTAGTTAGGCGTGTAACTAACTCCCAAAATGCATGACGGCGAGATATTCACCCTCTGTTACCATGTTGTGATTCTGAGACATATTCGCGCGCTTCTGTCATTGGCGAATTGGATCGGTTTCACGAGCGGTCGATAACGGAGTCTTGTCGAAGCCCAGGCCAATTAGATAGATCCGGCATGAGGTGAGACGGAGGCCGCTGCGAGTAATATCTACCATGTATGTGTTGCTCGAGACTTCATGCGGGTAAATGCAGTACTGTCAGATATCAGATTGTTAAAATGTGGCTGTCCATTTGATGGAACTCCATTGAGCGCTGGAGGGCGTAATACGGACGGACGGAACTGCTTGAGGTTAGTTAGAGGGTTTGATATTGGTGCTTGTTCCCAACAATATTATATTTCATGCTTGGCTTATGATGTTGAGATTTAAAATGTCAGCTTCTTATTTGATGGAATTATATATATAAGGTCAAAACTACAGAGGCTTGATATGTTCTAGGTATAAGGCCGTGTAATGGCAGCCTCGCATATAATATCTACAGCTAACTTAAAGAGATGTCTAATCTAAGTGTACCGTGGGTATACAAGTCAAATATAAGCCACGGTTGCTACAGGTTAGATATAGCTCTTTACTTATACCACGAAGTCCCCCTTAGTGTTGACCACAAAGAATAAAGAATAGAGTTGATATGGCAGGAAACAGATGTCACTTTTGCCTAGGGAAATGGCTTAAGTCTACTTGACCCATGACTCTAAAGGTAGACTTATCATTATGGCACGAAGCCTTTCATACCAATATACATATAGTTACTTCGAGATAAACTACAGGAACCCGCAACGTGATAAAGTATATTAAAACTCCCTACATGCGCTTACCTGCAAACTACCTAAACCGACTCGAATAAAGAAGACCACCGGTTGTGACCTTACACCGGAATAGGAGTTATTACATGCATGAATACGTATCTATTTACCTTTGGCTTCTGCTTACTAACTCTGACGTCTATCATTCGGATATGGTGTCGGGATATTAGGGAATAAGTTACTGGCTTAGCGGTTTTGAATAACTATCGGGACAGTTCACGATACTTTCCGAGGCGTTATTAAAGATGGCGTGCTACTAATTTCTATAGTGAGATCTGAGGTTTGGACACAGTGTATTTCTTTAGGTGAATGTCACATTGGTCGTATTTGATAGGTAGTTATTCAGAAAAGAAAGATTAAGTTAATAATAAGGTGCAACGGTTAGGTGGAGAAGTGATGTCGTCTCCGAAGAAAGAAAGCGGACTAAGCCGTGGAATGAACCGTGCGCTAGTTATTACTGACCAATCATTTCTCTCATTTCTCATCAGATTTGCATAACCCACCCAAGGTTCCCTCTTACAAGCTCTTGACGTCATAATATTAAGTAAATTCCTTGGTCTCCGGCCATTGAGAGCAGCGCCATGTTCCATGACTACGAGACAATTACCTCAAAGCTCTTTGGGATAAGTTCAATTGAACTAATAAGCTTACCCCGACTCGAATACATTGTTTATATGCAATTTTTCTAAGCTTCAAGCTACCCACTGTCTACAACATACTACCTACATACTCACTTATACAACTACAACTACAGCTACGACTACTGCCGTTTACCTAGAGATCTTATATACCATCTCGAGAACTATATCAAACACACATAAACATAATGGCCTCCAGAATGCTATTCAGATCAGCTGCTACCATTGCTACAGGCAGACAAGCAGCGGCACAACGGACCTTCACCACCAGCTCCGCAAACCTATCCTACAAGGAGAGCAACCGTAAGTGACACCGCTTCCCCCAAGAGAAGGATTATACGCATCTATGTAAACCAAGAAAACATAATTAAAAGAAGAACCACCCATTGGCTAACATAAAGCCTCCCACGCAGACGGATCCGAAACACACGACCCGGAGAAGCACAAGCAGGACCTGCTAGCGAAGCACAAGGAAGGCAAGGGCCACTGGAAGCCCGAGCTGGCATCCGATAGCGAGGAAGCCATCAAGGCAGACCGGCACGGCGGCGACGGCAAGGAGGACATCGCGGCTCTGCAGGAGCGCACCAAGCGGGCTGCCGAAGAGACCAGCAAAGCCGGCACTAGCATGCGTGATGGGTTGTAAGGTCAGGACGTTTTATTAGTTATTATTATTATTATTATTATAAGCAACTATACAGACGTTGGGCTGACTGGCTATTTCAGAGTCGACTTGATGGACAGGGATGGATCAAGATGAAAATGATGGGCGTTGTTCGGACGTTATGGTAGGCGGTTTCGTTGCGGGTTTACTCAATATGTATTGTACGAGTAGGAAATGACAATGGACTCGGGATCTAATGGCTAACTGGAGTATCTATCTACATCTACATGCTCGACTATCGTTCCTCGCTAACGTGTAGTCTATAAATCTTCTTCTACGGCTGAGATATATTCATGGCTCAATTATTATAACTAGGTACCTATGTATGCATTATTCTTCCAGTAAGTGAACTTGGACCGTTTATGGTTCGCAAGTCGATTTATATCAAATACCCAACGAGAGAATATACGATGTGTAAGTCCGTGGCGCCCGTCCACGTATGAGTGTATAATATAAACAATGATATATATATAATCAATGTAAGTCTCCCTGTTAAACGCCATGCCGACGCCATGCAAAATGCAACGAGGACTCGAGTATATCAGTCCAATCCAGCCCTGTCCTGCGCAATTACCACATCCCGCCTCTTTTCTAATCCCCCCTTAGGTGCCTAGCCAGCCCCCCCTCCCTCGTGCTCTTTTTTCTTCTCCCCCCCCTTTATTTCAGAATCGCAATAAGCAACACCAACACGATAATCAAGATGATTATAGCGATCATCTGCTTACTATCCCCCGCCGCCCTCGTAATCTTGCCGACCTGGCGCTTCGCGCGATCCAGCCGCCCCTGGTGCCGGTCTACCGCGCTATCGACATCATCCAGCATGGCCACGTGCTCGTCGAGCTCGTCGCCGATCTGCATGCTGAGCTCCCGCTGGCGCGCGATGCTAGCGCCCAACGCGTCCAGCTGCTCGTCCTGCTGGTCTAGAATCCGCTGGTGGTACGCGTGGATCTGCACGTTGTCCATGCCCGCCGCCTCGTCCCGGTACCCCAGGCTGTCGTCGCCGGGGTTGTCGCGGTACCGGCTCGCCCCGAACAGCTGCGCCTCTAGGTCCGGGTCTGTGGTCGCGGAGGGGCTCGCGGGGTTGTCGGTGAAGCGCACGGTTTTGGAGGCGGTGCGGGTGCCTTTGGGCCGGAGATTCGAGGACGAGGAGGCTTGGGGAGGGTTGGAGACGCTGTTGCGGGGCGAGGTGGTGGCGTGTTCGAAGTCCGAGCGCAGGGTCGGGTCGTTCGGATGTGTGAGGGTGGATTCGCTGGATGGAGAGGAAAAGCCGTGGAATTGGGATGTCAAGTCGTCGTATTGCTTCTGTAGGCTGGGAAGGACATCGGAGATGGTGAGGGAGCCACTGTAGATGTGTTAGTATAATAAGGGATATATTAAAGATGATAGTTCTCAGGTAGGTATAGATGGTATATCGTAAACCCGATCGCCTAAGATGCCATCGCATACTCTTCATCGCCAGCTTCCTCGAGCCTTTTCTGCTCCTTCCCTAGCGCTTCTAATCCATCCTTGAACTGCTCTAGAGATCTAGATATGTGTCCGTCCTTCGAATCGCCATCGAGATTGAGGCTCTGCGCCCGCTGCCGTTCCAGCAGGGAAAGCTTGATATGGTCGGCCAGGAGGTATAGTTGGTTCGGGTTCGACATGGCGACCCGTCGTTCGTCAGACTAGCGCCTGGGAATCTGGGATGGGGAAAGATATGTAGCGTGACGAGCCGAACCAACCGGGGGATGCGGAATAGCAGATGTGTTGAATGTGTGTGTCCTAATGTGTCTGAGGCCAAATTGTCAATTGTCAGTTGGGTGGTTCTCGATGGCTGTAAGTTGTAACTTTGTAGCAGGAGATAGCTAATAATACATGTAGGTACCAGTAGTACGGTAAGAGTACATATTGTATTGTACAGTAATCTACATTACACGCAGATGCGACATGCGAATAAGACCTATCAATCACCTAGCCTTAACATTTATTACATACATTGTGCATATGTGCATATATGCATAATCGGGAACCATATATTTCCATTCTCCGCATCTCGATTCGTTACTTTAGGAGGTACCTAACCGCCTAACCGCCTACCCGCCTAACCTTAACCTTATGTAATCATGACCACTTTCTTTTCTTCTCTCAATCTTCTTTTGTTTCTTTAACATCCTCCAACTATGATCCGCATTACCATATCCCCATACTGTGTAGTCGTTCTCTCCGGCCGGCGTCGGTATAAACGAACCCACCAGTCAACTCAAGTTACATACCTAGGTTAGGTAACTTAAGATGACCGGCTACGGTACGGAATGCTGGTAACGAATCAGACCACGGACTAGGGGCTGGCTGTTGGTCTAGTCTTGTTCTGTTCTGCTTTGCCGAGCTTATCCCCTCTTACCTCCTACCTCTTACTCATGTCTTCCATTTGAAGATTGAGGTATTTGAGCATCTAATGACCGAGCTCTCTGCTGACCTTACGTCCCAGTTTGAACAAGCTCTTCAACTACCGAGGTGCTGACCTAAATCCTATTGCTTATGTGCTGGCTTATGTGCCTCACATCTGCGACTGAAGGAGCTCTGACTCGTCCACCGTCGTGGGGTCCGAGATGGGTTCCACGATGAGGCAATCTTTGGGGGACCTTCGAAACCGGTGTCCGATGAGCAGCTGAGGTAGGATTTATGCCATTTCCTAGCCTAAGGTACGACGTCTCCCGAAAATGTACAATCCACCGGAGCCCTACTACCTTCTCCTATTTGGTTAGTTACGGACTTGTTACTAGGATGAGATAACTTTGGCCCGAACTGCCCGCACCTTTACGCCGCTTGGCAACAATCCGGCAAGTAAATCGTGTGGGGTTACCTGTTACTACTAGTCGCGCTACGATATCATTTCAAGGGTCCTATTATGACACTAAACGAGATAGTAATGGTCTTGCCCCTCACTGATACAAGTTCGACTATCATCTTGGTTGTTTAAAGTTAGGTTGAAGTTTTTTCCGTAGTTATATGATATGCTATTTTATTTTATCTTATTTTATTTCATTTTAGATTTCTAGTGAATCTTTTCTCGTCTTCTACTTATTGTTACCATTGTTACCTCTGTCTTAGGTAGTTTAGTGTACTTGGTTGGCGGAACTAGGTCTTCTCACTACAACTACTTGTCCATCTCTCATAGTTCAGCTTCTTATACCCATCTGTCGTAACCGAATCCCACGTTGCACGACATCATGTCTCTCCCTAATGGCGTGTACCGCGCCGATCAGGTCGGCTCTTTTCTGCGACCAAAAGCGCTTCTCGAGGCACGCGAACAGGCTGCTGACGGCAAGCTGAAGGTCGAACAGCTGAGAGAGCTAGAAGACAAATACGTGGCCGATGTCGTCGACAAACAGCTTACTGCTGGACTACGGGCCATCACAGATGGAGAGTTCAGACGACAATGGTTTCACGTTGATTTCTTGAAAAATCTTAGCGGCGTAGAGTTTCGTGGTGCTCTACAGTCTACCAATGTTAGCGTAGGAGGTACCATGCCTCCACGACTCGTCGTTGTTGACAAGATCGGCCATCCGAAGCCAATTCAAGTCGACGATTATAGGTACCTCGAGTCTCGGATCGCGGCAGCTGGTGCCAAGGCCACACCGAAGGTCTGCATCCCGTCGCCGACCATGATTCACTTCCGCAATAGCCGCGAGACTATTGATGAGAAGGCTTACCCGACGCTGGAGCCCTTCTTCGAGGATCTCGCGCGTGTATATCAGGAAGAGTTGGATGACCTCTATAAAGCCGGTGCTCGCTTCGTACAGCTCGACGACACCAACTTAGCCTATCTTTGCGATCCTAAGATGCGTGCTGAGGCCGAGGAGCGACATGGCGATGCCAACCTTCTTGCTCGTCAATACGCCGCGCTTATTAATGCGGCTATCTCGAAGCGTCCCGCCGATTTGACTATTGGAATACATTTATGCCGCGGTAACCACCGCTCGCAATGGTTCGCGCAGGGCGGATACGAACCCGTAGCCGAAGTTCTATTTAAGGACCTGAACGTGGATGCCTACTTCCTCGAGTACGACGACGCGCGATCGGGCGATTTTTCGCCGCTCCGCCACCTACCCGAGAACAAGATCGTCGTCCTTGGTGTTATGACAAGCAAAAAAGCCGCTCTCGAAGACAAGGCCGAGATCATTAAGCGCCTTAAAGAAGCTGCTTCGTTTTGCCCCAAGGGCCTAAAGCAACTCTGCCTCAGCCACCAGTGCGGCTTTAGCTCGACGTCTGAAGGTAATGACCTCACCGAGGAAGAACAATGGGCCAAGGTCAAGCTAGAGGTGGAGATTGCTAAGGAAGTTTGGGGGGATGATCTGTCCATCTAAACAGATACGTACAATAGGGGTATTATTACCTTAGGTTACGTGACATGGTCTCAGGGGGCTCTGGAGTATAGTCCAAAGTTTCGTACGCGCCACGTGGGTAGGTATACGTATGGCCACATGGCAATGAAGCTGGTGTATGCATTTTCAGTGGCAACGGAGTTGGAAAGCCGACAAACAGGTGTGTTTGCGTTGGCGTTAAGAGTGGTAGGTGTGATTCAACATAGCACAAAGTACGAAGCCCGCATTAGTTGTACTCTAAAATAGGAAAGTTAGAAAATATAATACTGCCAGCAGTAGTTGTCATACGCACTATAACTGTGTACCCAGAAGCCATCCATAGCACATATTGTAAGACAGAACACTGCTGTAATGTAAATAGGAAAACAACGACGCCAGCATATTAACATGGCATATCTAACGAAAAACCCTGTAAACTCCAGGAGAAATCTTATTTGTACAGTATAGCAGACCCCCGCCTCCCCCTTTGCCCGCCCTCTTCCCTAATGCACACCGGGGAGTTTATGATTTTCTTGCGCCAGAGTTGCCAATCAAACAGTAATATACCACCCACCTATCACCACCCCTCTGTGTAGTATTGTAGTATTAGTTTAATCCTTTCCCCCAAGAGATGCTCTTGTAACCCTTTAGTCTGCAGCCGCTATCCTTCCAAGCCTACCTGCCAAATCCTCTATAAACACAGGCAAGATACGTTCTCCTTCTCCTTCTTGTTCGCTCGCGGCTCTCTGGGGGAATTTTCCGCCTCTGGGCCAGGGGGTACTGGGCGTATAATATAAAAGAGACATGAAGACATGAAAACATGAGAACATGAGAACAAAGGCATAAGCTCATTCGGAAATGCATAGAAATTGCGCCAATCAAGACAAATCAAAGCTGAGCTCATCTCATAGAGGCTGAGAATATTGAGAATCTCGTAATTGGCCTCCTGAACGACGACGTTTGTTCCAAGAGACCAGCACATCGAAAAAAGTCGAGGCATTTTCTGACCCGAAACGCCGAATACATTTCTGTTGCCACCGAGCGACGGGGATTAAAAAGCCGGAGATGTCATAAGAAAGAAAATCCGTATTAATCCGTCCGAACAGCTGGTCTGATCAAGATAAAACTCTTCGCAATAAGAGAGCGAGAAGAAAATCGACGTTTAAGCTCCGGGAGGGGGAGGGGCCTCACCCTGGGGCTGGCTGCCAGGTTGCTGCTGGGCATAAGCTTGGTACCAGAGCGCAAGGTATTGCTGGTATCCACCATCTTCACTCAAAATTAGCACGGTTCATAAAACAGAGGGTGATATTGTTCTGGACTTACACGCAGCATACGGGTCGCTAGCAGGGTTAGCACCTGCAGGCTCTGCTGCCTGGCTGCTCTGTTGCTGCTGACCATAGTTGGGATTGGGGTTGGGATTAGGATTAGGATTGTCCCAATCTCGGCGGTGTTGGTTGCGAGGAGGGCGACTTTGGCTGGCACCATTATTCTTCTGGCGCTGGGAAAATGTAAGTAATATGTCTAAGTTGGCATCATGAAATGATAAGGACTTACTACTGCATCAACTTTGTCTTCGATAGCACGCTTGGCTCGGTTGATGGCGTCGTGAGATCCAATTAGGCCGATCTCACGCTCGGATTGACCAGGAACAGATGCAGTAACGTTAATCTTACATCCGGTAGTGTTCTGCATCTCTCGAATGGTCTCGCCACCTCTGCCTATGATCATACCAACAGCATCACCAGGCACGAAGATAGAGTCATTGATCTTATCACCAGCACCTTGGCTGTTATCACGAACTTGGTCAGTTCTTTGGGGGCGTCCCTTACTAGCATCGTTGCTGGCGTTGCTGGCGTTATTGTTGTTGTTGACGTTGCGGCTATCACTTGCAACAATCTCGAGAATCAGTTCCTTGGCTTGGCTAGCAGCATTAGGGGGGCCAATGAGGTTCACAGGGCGCAGACCGTCTACACTCTGGTCCTCGCCGACAATGTTAATGTGACAGCCACTTCGCTCTTGCAAATCCCTAATAGTTTCACCACCACGGCCAATAATGAGGCCAACCGTGCGATCTGGGACCATAATCTGCATGCAGTCTTCACCATCTCTCAATGTAGCTGGGCCAGGGGTAGTGTTATCGCGACGAGCATGTTGAGGCTTATCAAGGCCGGCTCGTGCAAGGGCACCCATGCCACTATCTTCAATGATTCTATTGATTGACGCCTTGGCTTCCGCACGATTAGCACGAGGACCCGTGATCTTACACTGGCGGTACGGGCCAGGTTCACCAGTGGGCGACAAAAATTGCACTCTGCATGATGTTTCCGACTCAACTCGCCGAAGATTCTCTCCTTGTCTTCCAATGATGAGGCCCACTAGGCTCGACTCAATGCTGATTACTTCCGAATCATCATCATCTCTAGGCGAGAATAGTCCGCTAGAAACGCGACCACGACTAGGGCCAGGCGATAGAGAACGGTCACGACCACGACCGTAATCACGAGTAAGAGCACCACCACGATCATTACGTCGTTCATCCCGGTACGGGTTGACGTTATCACGAAAATTTTCACGACGCGTAGGCGGAGAACGAGATCTCGATCTATAGTGTCTTGCATCCACAGTACGAGCATCATGCCCCTGATAAGCACCAACAGTCGGTCGTTCATACGGGGTCAAGCCCTGTTCAGTTGCATAATTTTTAGCTTTGGCAATCGCGTCACCAAGATTGACAGTACCCGACGTAATTGGTCTAATGGCACTTAAATCAAAGCCTCCAGGTGCTGAGGACTGTTGTACGGGAGGATACGCCCCGGTTGCATACGGTGAAGGCTGGGTGGTGGGTGGCAATGTCGCATACGCATTAGGAGGTGGTCCTTGTTGGTAACTCGGCATGACATAGGGTGTTTGACCTTGAGTGGGAGTTCCAGTTTGCGCCGCTGTAGTACGAAAGCATGGTCAGATTTGGTTCATGAGGGTTTATCAGAAAAAGGCTTCGGCCTGAGAAAAAGGAAAAGAAAACATGGTCAAAACTCGTACCTGCTAGAGCGGCGAGGATCGCCTGAACATTCGGCTGTGCTTCTGCCATTGCGCTGACAATGCAGTCTAGTTGGCGATTCCACTTGTAGTAGAAATGTCTTAGATGACAAGTTTTTATAGCAAGATCAAAGAACAGAAGTCTAAGTATCAAGGTCGGCGATAAATCTTTGGCCCAAAAGACGAAGTGGCGAGTCGCGAGGCGCGAGGCATGCAAATGCAAATGCACTTTTGTGACGACAGACAAGTGTTCAATGTATACGTTCAGTCAATCAATCAATCAATGCTTCAGATGATCCCTCGACTAGAAGTTGACTAAAAGTTGACTAGAAGTTGGCTTGGTCAGATCAATTATGTCGATGGTGAGATGCAAAGTGCAAAGTCCGATCAAAAAGTAAGTCGAATCAATAGTTGAATTTTGTTCTGTCAATCTGCGTCTGACCTAGGTGTGATACAGTAGGGGAAGTACTGTGGAGGTGTGCAGGTAAGGGGGTTGAGTATGGAATATGGAGACGAAGAGGGTGAGAATGTGATCCGGATTGATTCACTGAATGTGAATGTGTATTGGAATGTTTCCCTATCTTAAATGGTGAGAGTGTGTCTTCCTTACCGATCCACTAGATGATTGAATGAAAGAAGAAAGGAGAAAGAGATCCTTTGGACAAAAGGTCTGGTGTGTTTGAAGGAGGAGGATTTTTTATAGGGAAGAGAGGACGGGACAAATGTTAAATGCTGATGGGAAGGTGGATGGATGGATGGATGTACCTAAGAAATCAAAATATGTGCTAACAAAATCCATAAGGTACATGGTATGGTACCTTAAGTGCGGTACTGGGTACGTACATGTAGCCTAATACAAACTGTTTTCTTGGGAAGGCGCTAACCATTTTCGGTGGCTTCGAGACAGCTGTTTGTTCTCGGTTATTGTTCTTTGACTGGCTCGGGACGGCCCCACTAGCCTTAGTCATTTAGACTTTGTCAATAATATGATCACATGTACAGTACGTACTGCTTTATACGTACCTAATTAGTGATTGCTACCTATATTTATTGTAGGTCATTACATTTGTTGGCAGCATTAAACATCCACATCACGGTTTTAAGTCAGATGAACTTGCCTGAGCAGTTGCTTATGTAGAAATTCACATTTGGTATGAAGCTATCTTTGGTTTGCTATGTACAGGCATATGGTCAGTTTGTAAAGAGCATGAGCAGCATGACGATCGGAAACATGATGATGCCCATAGCCATGAATACCACTGTGTAGAAAAACATTCTCAAGGCAGTGTCTTTACCCGTAATGGTGATGGTTTCCTTCTGATGCTTCTTGCTGCTTTTCTCTTCTTTCGCCTTCTTGGCCTGTTTTATCTTGCTCTCTCGAAGAGGTCGATAACGCACATCATCTAACTTTGCTTGGTGTTGCTCAGCGGCGTCGTGGACCATCTTGTGCTTTCTCCGTTTTCCCTTTATCATCCAATCCTGAGTTTGAAGATTCTTTCCGAGCTCGCTCACATGAGCCTCTGATACAGCATTATGGCTCGCAAGTTCCATCTCAGCCTTTTCAAGCAGCTGCATTTTAAGCCCTAAGACCTCAACGCGGAGTTCCAAGCACTGCGACTCGAGTTGCTCTTTCGTTAGCGAGGCAAACGGGATCGATGGGATGCTTGAGCCGGATTTCATGTTTGACATATGCTTGTTGGATAACCCAGTATGATTTCCTGACTTCTTATCTTTGGACTCCGGTTGCTGCTCTGCCATGTGACCTTTCGAATTCTCGTCATTCTCAATTTTCCCATGTGCCGTACTGTTGGAAAGACCTCGAATCCCATCTAATAGGGGAGCACCTCTAGACCCTTCGCGGTTTCCACATGGGATGATCCCCAAGGCTGACTCTGCTGCGTCTCTTCTGGTTGCGTTCATCTTGGTAGGCTTCCATTTTTGCTTGGCGATTTCGGCGGTCCGATAAAGGGATCCCGGTAGCGATTGTAGACTGGCTTTCGGTTTATTTTTCATCTTAGAACCGGAGATAGCAGCATCTTGCTCCATTGTACCTAGTCTGAGGGCAGTATCCTCGGTTTGTTCTGTTGAGCGATCTGTGCTCGTAGTCGCCTGTTGCAGTGCTAACATCTCGCTGGGTTCTAAAGTCCGGCTCTCTGCTTTGAGCGGAAGGAATGCACCCAGGTTGTCAGCACGGTCTGCATACTGAAGACCCGGTAATCCGACTGGGAGAGGAACCCAAGCAGTCGAACCCGCGATAGAGCGCGGTGAGGTCCGAGGTGCAGATAGTCGGGATTCGCCCACCTCCATCGACGAAGTAGATCCAAGCTCAGCGGACTAGTATTGTATTAGGAACATAGTATCTAAAGAGATATTGACTAGCAAAATGAAGGCCATTTAGCCTAGAGAAGAAACCCTTTTATCGTACCTGAATATTTCCGTGAGAATCGTAGTGTTCTGGTTGTCCGATGTTAGGACGCTTTGGGAGATTACGAGCGCCGGCCCGAAGAACTTGCCAAGATCGCTCAGCGCTTGTCACTTTCAGAGTCATCTCTAAGTTGAATAGGAGGTAAATTCAGTGTGTCTTTCAAGTAGGAATAAGATAGTTATGGGGATGATCAAAGCAGGTTAGACACGAGGGGAGCGGAGGCGAATGCGGATGAGAATATACAGGATAAGGTGAAGCGTAGATATACCTACCTTACACATAAATACCTTAGGTACCTACCTAAACTAGATAAAAGCTGAAAACTTGAGATGGAAGGAACATGTGTAGATAGAGTCAAAGGTAAATACATGTATGTACCTACCTAAGGAAAGAACATTTCGTTGCTGCCTTCAGTCAGGGGTAAAGATACGTAGGTACCCAGTATCTATCCAACGACCTGTACCTTCCGCACCTTAGAGATAAGGTTACACCTCGTGTACCTAAGATACAGGATACAGATGCAAAATACAGGTGGCCGCCTACCACTAGCAACAAGTCTAACAACGTATGCGTAGGTATGTAGTCTTGTATCTCCATGGTGATGCATCGTCATCCACGCTGTTGTCCCCACTGTTGTTTATAACAACACTTAAAGTCAACACTTAGTCACGCAGTACCTAGGCTAAACCAGCCGTAGCAAATTCATCTGCTTATTAAAAACTTCCGTTCAACTTTTTATATTATCACCCTTGAGTCTTACTATCAACAAATACTGTCAAATCCATGATCGCCAAGCATTTGCCTAAACATCAAAATGGATGGTAAAGGATCTCAAAAGCGTGATGGTCGTCGCGGTCGACACCAAGGCTCGGGATCCTGGCGAAAGAAACCAGATTCCTCGCAACAAGGTCGTAAGCAAGGCCGCCAGCAAGACAATCAGCAAGACAATCAGCAAGCTCCCCGGAAAGGTAATCAGCAAGGCAATCAACAAGGCAATCAACCAACTCTCCAGCAAGACCACCAGCAAGACCACCATCAAGATTACCATCAGGATTACTACCAGGAATATCCGTCATTCCAGCAGCCGATCCAGCAGCCGATCCAGCAGCCGATCCAGCAGCCGATCCAGCAGCCGGTTCAACAGCCGATTCAGCAGCCAGTTCAGCACTTAAACCACGAATCTAGTCATGAGTCTAGTTCCCAACCCAGTCCCGGATCTAGCAGTCAGACCCTCACCGATGTAAGTCTCGAACCATCTCAATAAATAAGTCAACTTCCTGATCTAGTTGTATAGGGTAATCATGCCACTGTGAGAACTCTCACCGAGGAGGTTGATGTTCTGAGACACACTGTTGAATTTGTCGGACAGCGCAACGTCGAGACACTTGCCAAATTCGAGGCATTGAAGAGAGAATTCTCCAGCTTGGTGCAGCAATATACCTGCCTCGAGAATTCATTCAAACAGAGCGTCGTCAACATCCCAGGTGGTGATAAGATCCTACAGTCTATGAAAGCAAACGAAGAGCGCAGGCGACGCACAGCCCGCAACTCGGTAACAATTCCTGTTGCAACCCATAGTCAGTCTCTGGATGAGCTTCAACCCGAAGAGAGGCTTTACATTGATAACACCATTGACTTCTGCTTCGAACTCCTCCACCATCAAGTTCGCGTAACTAATGAACTACGCCAGGAGCTCGACCTGGCGATCCAAGAAAACGCCGAGCTTCGTGCTCGCCTCCAGTCTAGCTCTTAGTCTAAATCTCGGACCGAGCCCTCGCTCCAGAAACAAGACTTCGCAGTAAGGAAGATTCTCGGGTTAACCTTGTCATTCTTTTCTCTTCCATCGCAGATATCGAGTTTGGATTGTGGATCAGCTGGTAAGTTACACGGATATGTCGTTATAATAAGAGTCTGACAGACTTTAGGTTAATATAGTCCTCTTCAATCCTACCAAAATTATAGGCTGCTTTCATAACGCCGCCATATAGTCCTTAGTAAACTAGGGAGTTTAAGGGTACATGAAGTTTGCTTAGAAAAGGGGGAAGGTCTGTATAAACTACGTTCATAACAAGGAACTTGGCAATCTGTCCTCGTTCATAGCATAGTCCGGTATTCCAAATAGATATTCTGATTAAGTTTTCATCTCCCGACAACTATGCCCTCTTAAAGCGTCGATAACAATATTCTATAACCCTGATGCACCCCCCCTCCTCCCCCGCTGCTAAGTAGGTAACTACGGGAGCTTATGGCTATACACACTGAAAATAACATTTTTTCTAGATGTCTCGTCTAAAATCTTGATAAATTTTATAGAAATAGGTACGTAGGTGGGTAAGTACCTAATATATAATTCACTCTCGGAATGAAGGGTATTTCGGGATGGTGCATATTAGCTGCGCCCTGTTTCAAATAAGGTATTACCTCTTATTGTCTTTTCATTTATTCCAGGTTATTTCGACGTTCCGATCACTTTAGTCAAGGCAATGTTGTACTAGTAAGTATGTGTATTGATTTATTCTGAGTTGGAGACCAAAGGAAACGGCTACCCCGTGCAAAGCGTGAAATCTATGATAGTGATCCAAAAGCCTTATCGGTGTAGCGACAGTCTGTGATTCCTGAGGGAATTGCTAGCTCAGGACCTCAATATCGTGCTGACAACCTTCTAACAGTTGCTACGGACGTGGCGACCATAACTATTGTAAGTGACACAAGGTCATTACCTGAGGTTTTCACCGTGTCAGTGCCTGCTATTAAGAAGGCTTCCAAATTACCAAAGTGTGACTGGTCAGAAATAAAACCGCTAATAAATGAAGGACACTTAAAGGTACCTATCCGCTGCTTCGGAGTTATTTTTTCAGCGTTTGTTGCAAACGTTCAAACGGAGCACTCAGAAAAAACGTCCTCGCCAAAATAACCCCAATACCCGTTAAATTTATCTTCCCACCCTACCTTAATCTCATTCTATAAAATCTCGAAAACGCCGATAGCCAGAACCCCATCAGTGCTGTCCACGATGGCTACCAAGAGCACCCGAAATTATGCAAAAGCTCGGGAGCAAGGTAACGTCTTGTACCGGAAAGGCCGGTTCAGTGAAGGTGAGAATTACCTATGATATATAGGTGTTTATCCAGATTATATGCTCACAAGTATGATATAGCGTCAAAGGAATATCAGAAGGCTGCTACTCTGGCCCCTTCAGATCCCTCTCCATTGTCAAACCTTTCGGCTGTCAGCTTTGAAACTGGCAAATACGCAGAATGCGTTGACTTCGCGGAAAAGGCCTTGAGCCTTCTCATGACTAACCCAGGAGATGACACTCTGAAGCAGAAATTGCTAGCCAGGCAAGCCAAAGCCTATCTTCAGCTCTCAAGTCCGAACAAGGCCGAAGAGGTTTCAAATCAACTGAAGCCAGGAGAGGAGGTTAATGATATCCGTGATTCGATTGGCAAGTTAAGAACATTTGAGAAGTTCTCCCCGCAGCAAGGATTACTACGTGAGAGATCAGTACAACTACCACGACTGAAACCAAACATGTGAGTTGCATGAAAGCGTCGGAAATGAATTATTGGGTTAATATTTCGAAGTCAGCACGAACCGCATTATTACGGTTTCGGTGACGATACAGCTGAATCGCAATATACGGCTGAGCTCGAGAAATCTGCTGGCAAGGATCCGGTCTTGTCCATTATGTTCTGTGGCGTTTCGGACGCTCGTCACGTCTTCCACACCGTTTCGGAGTACTCTTCAAAGAAAAAGGGACCCCAGAAGTTGCACATCACAATGGTGGATCACAAGCCAATTGTTCTGGCTCGCATTTTGGTATTTGCCAGCATGCTACATGAAGCGGCTGTTAGCCAAGAGTCAAAAGACGCGACGCTGCTGAATCTGAGTTACGTGTACTGCGCTCAAATCATCCCACCATTCGCGTGGGCTAACCTGCAAGAGACCATAAATAGGCTACTGAATAGACTCGAGAAGAAGTAACAACCTCTCGAATTTGTGTATCTTCGGACCCAACAGATGGTCATGGTCATGCGCTTCTTAAGGAGTTGGAAGTGGCTTGCGGCGGTGTATGAAACCTCTACCTCAGTACGTCGCCGTGTGGCTGAAAGTCCTACCAGGGTAATACCGGAGGTGATGTTTATGTTCTCCGAGTTCAAAGTAGACCGACGGGCTTTCGATGACTTCTCTATCCTGATCCCCCCCAAATTATGCTGCCGATCCTCGAGCCGGAATTATCCACTCTCTATACAGATTACCAGGCGAGAAAGCAGGGAGCCTAGAAGCGTGTTTCTGACTATCTAGATCGACACTGGAAAGTAAATGTCACACTTCTCGATCCGATCATGCATATAAGACATGGAGAATATGTTTTATCTGTAATGGAGAACCACCCATTCAGCATGATTGCATCAACGGTGACGCAGCTGTCTGGACTGCGGGCACGTGATGAATCGATATGTTGCTTGAAGTATATGATGGATTTTTTTTTTGAAAAGGTAAGCCTAGGTTTCCTTAAGTTACGTGGTAGGCTGATAATGGAAGCGATTGCTGGGGATATGGCCGAAGTATTGGAGAGGATTCGTTACGGCATCTTGGATCGTCCCGAATAAGGGGAAGGCACAACTATCGACTAGCCTTTGAAATACCATCTAATTCATATGAACAACATTCCGTAAGTCAATCTTTCATTTAACTAGGAATACCACTTTGAAAGCTGATGAATCATTAGAGATTATGTGGGAGGGCCTTTGACGAGCTTTCTCTACGGACCCCCGGTACTAAAGACAGGGGTTGGCACAGGCTTAACCTCATGTTGCCTGCGACATACGCACTCGTGGAATAGCATCAATCATGTTAACTCGGAGTACTTATTAATGCATGATCGAAGATTGATCGAGGAGCATTTCCAAGTCAAGCTTTCTAAGGAACCTTCAAGATCGGAAACACCCGTGATGCAATTCTATCATCGCTGGGAGAGATGCGAGAGCAAGCGGCTCTCTTTGGAACGGCTGATGCCGCGAGCAAGCTTCTCGAAATGGTTATTTGCTCACTACCTCAAGATATGCATACCATTCCCCCGCAACCCAGATATACTCGGTTTCATTGCCCCTCTCAACATGACGGCATTTCTAAGACTCCTTGTTCAGATGAGTGAGCTAGGCTATCCCGGCCATTGGCTATCACATATTATCACATCTCTTAGTTGTGGTACAATCACCACCACAGCACGGGCACCTCGGGACAAGATCCTCGACACTACTGATGTGGATAAAGTATATCCATCTCGCACTATTTGTGTTAAGCCTTGGTCGGCAGAATTCACTACGATTGTAGCTCAATGGCGAGGACTCCTCCCGTTTACCATCGTGGTACCAAGCGGGATCCTACCTCCACCAGAGACCATCTTCGAGTATTCGGTCAAGATCCCACATACTCCGGATACACCATTTGAACGTCCTGAATTCATATTGATCTTCTGTCGAGAATATGACTTGTTAGAGCGGGATCTATACAAGCTACTTCTTGACGACGAAAGAGGAGATATGACGGCTTCAGCTCGGGAGATTAGGGCAGATGGGGTCAACATCGTGAGCACAATCAAATATGTCACAGCTACTGCCACGGCTACCTTCTGGCTGAGGAGCGACGTGATGGACTTGATGTGCAAAGAAGACTGGGACGTTTTCATCGGGAGGACTGATTCATGGGAACATCATACACCGGGCTATCCTGTGAGGGAAGTTCTCTGGAAAAAGAGATCTTGGAGGGACTGTGTAGTTGCGTGATGTCGTGTGCGGAGTTGGTTTACTGTATTGACCCTATTGGGTTGACGATAGGATCACGGTTCCATTACATAGGAACAATCAAGTGAGCATGTTTTCATACTTCTCGACCAGCAGCCATACGAACCAACCCACGAAAGACATATGCTGTCAGATGCTGGTAGGAGACCTCCAGAAAAGAAGACCCGCTGATGTGGGCGTGGCTGAGGTCTATTTAAGATATGATGTAGTTCTATCCGAGGTGTCTGGGGTGTTATTAGCGCCCACTGCTTTATTGGCTGGTGGTGCCCGGCGCTTAATACCGGCCCACCGTATATCCCGAAATCTTGTTTGTTGTACGGAGATCAGCTACGGGGTCAAGATGCAAAAGATACTCGGTATTCCCAATTTGTAGCTAGAGAGACCTGGTCTGCCATTTTCCTTCCCGCCGCACATGAGTGGCACGGTTCTGTTTGTCTGAGGCTCTAAACGTATGCAGTGTACCTATGGTTTTCCGACCAGACAAGGGGCTCGGCTAGCTTAGTCTGATGCAGCCGCCCGCGACTTTTCTACCAATCGTCTTACACCGCTGCCGCTGATCTGAGATTGCGTTTTAGCCTATGGCGGGAGGTGGCAAGCTGGGTACTGCAAATTTCCATAACTCGAGGACAGAAGAAAGAGACCAATATTTGTAATAATATGACATAGTTTTTCTTTCTCTTGTTAACACCCCGATTCTCGACGACCTTAATATAAAGGCGCTCTGGCAGTTGTTCTTGCACTAACCCTACGTATATTAATTTCAGGATTGTTATCTTGCATGCAGTTATCTTCCTTTCTAACCTAACCTAGTGGATTGATTGAAAGCGCAATAAAGCTTCCCCACCTAACAACAATAACGTGGGGCAGCTATATGACATACGTACTTGATTGGCTGAAATATCTTACTCATCAGATCTGTGTACCTGATAAAGTTATTCAACCCAGTTTTCTCCGATTCTTTCCTCTAACAACTCCTCTAACCTAGGATATTCAGTCATTGTTCTCGAGTAAATTAAACAAACTATCTTAGACACGTACATAACTCTTGAATACACGTATTTCTTGGGGTCTGCTTCCTCTATCCAAATGGCACATATTTGCTGTATCGGCCATTTCGTGCGCCTCATGACGCAACTTGTCGGCAGGAACCCTTCCTGCATACAAAATTCCTGCATACAAGAGGCGTAGGTATGTCTTATACGACTCTGCAACGGGAGCTTAATTTGTTATATGCAGTCTGCTCTGTCTAATGTCACCTAACCTTAGCTATCTAGCAATTCAAACTTGACCCTTAACTTCAGATTACGTAGCTCACCGTACATCGTCACAGCAAGATTGGTGACGGTGAATAGGATACCACTCAGTCCAAATGCTCGCCTCGCAATGCTTAGAATATAGGAGAACAGATGGACCTTATATGCCTGCGAGAATTTGGTAGACGCTTGTCAGATAATCGAGTACATATGTCTGCATCAGTACATATTCACCTGATACGAGTGTACATTCGGACCTCGGTGTAATGGAAAGAGGCATAACTGGATGCAAGAATCACGGTATAAAACTCCGGCAATAAGTAGTGAGCCCAATTATTACTGGCACCTGATTCGAATTTGACCTTGAGATGGGCATCCTAGTCAGGTAGATGAGCCAAGGAAATCGGCTAGTGAGGGCGCGCGGACAAGGAAATCGACTGGCTGAGAATGATCGCTGGCGCTTAACCACCTTTCTACACCGCGCGTAACCTTCACGAACAAACCGAACTGACAAAGAAGATTCTAATTAAGCGTGGCGGATAAGCGAAACAAAGATATCTATACATTTTATTCTGAAACAAGACCCATCTTGATCATTCGGCCCTTGAGTTGCTCTTGACTGGTCATCAGGTCGTCGTCGTGGCCGGCAAAGTGGGTTGAGCTCGGTTTGACATTACACGACTTCTTTATCATTCAACAGTTTCCCCCTCCATTCATTGTCCGACTACAATCACTTCTTACTTGTCGATTACAACCAATTTCTTTTTTCAATTCTCTGTCACCTTCTGACGTTAATGCAGTTACGGATCACAATACATCGTTGAATGAATCACGATATTTCCTTTTCATTTCTGTTATCCTTCCGCCGCACTTCTCTTTATTTATAATTTCTTTGGCCATACCCTTTTGTTCCATCTTACCAATATTACATCGCACAAAAACCTCTCGACAAGCCCATCTGGTACGGCTTCTGGGAAGACGAAACACCCCATCAGGAAATTCAATCCTGTTTTTTCTTCTTTTTTTTTTTCTTTTCTTTTCTTCGATATTTCAGTTATACCTATTTACGACAGCCAAAGCATCCAAAGCACCTGGATAAACTCAAGAAACTCAAACCTATGGCTATATTCCGCGAACAGGAGGGATTCCCTCAAGTACCTCCTTCACTAAGACACGATGCATACGAAACCAAGGACGTACGAAACATGAAGATTCGCGAGCTGCTATCTCAGAGCTCGGCCAAAGGTGCTACTCCCTACCTGGGACTCGGTTCGCGACTCTCTCAGATCTGGTTCAACCGATGGACTGTCCTACTACTCCTGGTCCTGGTCAACTTCCTTTTAACTATAGGTTCTCTGAATGGAAACCTCGACGATGCCAAGGCGAAGGCCCTATCAGCGTGTACAAAAGTTGAGGATGTTGGTAGTGCTATGGCTTCGATGCCTCACTACTTATCCGTCGGAGTCAACCGCTTCACTGCATCCGGTATCACGGAATCCGTACACGCCTTGATGACCATCCTCGACATGATCCTTACTGGTATTGAGCAGCTGATCCTCTTCGTTATCGGTATGATGACAGACACCTACGTCTGCCTGATTACCATGGTGGTCCACGGAGGACTGAATGCATCATCGCTTGCTATTACTAAGACCACTGAGGCCATGAATGACGCTATCGATGGAGTTGCCAAGGCAATCAACGGCACAGCCGACGACCTCCAAAAGCCCGTGGATGCCATGTACTCGATCGTAAATGGTGCACTCAACGCAGGCGAACAAGCTACAAGCGCTATTGGAGGAGCTGTTGACACAGCGACAGCAGCGGTTGGAGGTGCTATCGAGACTGCTATTGGTGGCATCGGCGATATCTTCAACAAGCGTGCTAATATTCCACCTCCACCGGAGATCACTGGTGCTATCTTCAAACGTGTTGACCTTCCACCCAAGCCAGAGGTTGCAGGTGACATCAAAGCAATTGCCGCCAAGCTCTCGAACGTCAATATCAATACCACCGGTTTCGTGTCAGATCTGGATGCCCTCAACCAAGAGCTCCCGGATTTTGATGATATCAAGAACCTCACCGCTATGGCCGTATCATTCCCGTTCAATCTTATCCGAGAGCAGCTCACCAAAGCCTACGGCAACTGGGAGTTTAATGACAGTGTATTCCCCGTAGCTAAGAAAGAGGCTCTTTCCTTCTGCTCCGACAACACGGCCATCAACGACTTCTTCGACGGATTGTACGAGATCGCCCATATCGCAAAGATTGTAGCAATCGTGGTATTGATTATCCTTGCGCTTGCCGCCTGTATTCCGATGGCCTACATAGAGATACGCCGATGGCGCCGTTCTCAGATCAGTGCTTCGGATGCTTACGACGACATGGATCTCGTATATATGTCCTCGCGTCCTTCCACGGCTCGGGTTGGTTACTGGATTGCTTCGAAGTTCGGCGAGAAGCGAAGGGTTCTGGTACGATGGTGTATCGCATATGCTACATCCCTCCCGGCCCTCTTCGTCCTTTCCCTCGCGTTGGCCGGCTTTTTCTCCTGCTTCTGTCAGTGGATCCTCTTGAACACAATCCAGAAGGAGATTCCAGAGCTTTCAAACCAAGTCGGAGACTTCGCCAACCAGGTAGTGGGTACTCTGGACGGCGTCTCACAGAAGTGGGCGGACGATGCAAATGGTGTCATTACATCCTTCAGCACTGAGATCAACGACGACATCCTTGGAAAGGTGACGAATGGTACTGCTGCCATCAACGATACCCTTAACACCTTCATGTCGGAGATTGACAAGGGCTTAAACACAGTCTTTGGTCATACAATGTTTAAGGACCTTGCTGCGAACACGGTCCGATGCCTAATCGGGCTGAAGGTCGAATCGGTCCAAAAGGGTCTCACTTGGGTGCATGATCATGCTCATATCAACTTCCCCATGTTCCCCAACGACGTCTTCTCTGTTGGCGCAGCTAAATCTATCTCTGGTGATTCGGACCTTACGTCTTTCCTAGCCTCTCCTAGCAGCGGCACGACCGACGAGATAACTGCTTCAGTCATCCACGTCACGGATTGGCTGCGTAGCAACATCATCCAGGATGCGTTGGTTGCGACTGGTCTGCTCTTAGTTTACGTGATCATCATCCTTATAGGCGTCGTTCGTACTCTCGTCGGTCACAGCGACGTCGAAGGAGATGCTCGCAGGAGGCGAATACAAAACTTTGATCCTTCCCAGCCGGCAGGAGGCAACCCACCTATGCAGATGCCGCAGTTTAGCGGCGCTGGAGATGCTAGTGCTCACCCCGATCATCAAACCTCGCCATTTGCCCGGGACGATGCCTTCAGTCGCGGAACCGTGCACGGCGGGCCCGTCACGACCGAGGAGGCTCCCCCTTACACCCGCCATAGCAGCTACGTCCAGTACGGCGACACAAAGCGCATGGAACACGATCCGTTGCCGCCCAATTACAATGGTGGACGAGCTCTAACTGAGGACCCCTTTCGAGACCCGAAGCACGGTTAATCAGCATTGTTAGATTTCTTTTATTACTCGGGTAACCATGCGCAGTCAGCATAGGCACTCTTCTCAGTTATTGTCTTTTATTCATCAGCGATTATTTTTACAGCGTGCATACATACATATACCCAAACACACACACATACACACACACACACACACCCTTTCTCTCATTAATATCAACGCATCCTGCATCTCCTTGCGGATATCTCTAGGGTACTTGGACGCGGAATGGATAGATGAGGCATCACTCCTGCATCGGCATTGGTACGGCACGGCATAGCACAGCACGGTATTGCATCAGCGTCATTCATTCATTTGTCATACTCATCAGACGAGCCAGAGAAAAAGGAAGGGAGAGAAAAGAGAGATCCGGTATCTCGGCTTACGCCACTAGCATAATTATTCTTTGTCTTATTTTTTTAGTCAGAGGTCCCGCGTCCCTGGAGTGGACTCATGGTTTATTAGGGATTGGCCGTTGGACATTGCATCTACGGCGTTACGCGAGGTAATTCGACGGTCTGGAAAGGGAGGACTGTACGATAATACTGGATGGTTGATTGCATATCAGTTCAGCAATAGCGACCAAAAATGAATATTTTTATATTAACTTCTATAAATGCTTCTCCCCTATTGATATTATTGTGTATGCTTTGCCAAACCCACGAAGAGTACTACTAGCAAGTGAAGACGTAGCCCCTTTTTTCACTGACAGGTAGCGTGATATCGAAATAGCACTGGGGGCATAGATTGGTAATTCATTACTTATTTTTAATAGAACTAAGGCACTCTACTCCCTATCCATACTGCATACAGGCCAAGAAGTAGAGAACCATTCCCATGCAACCATACCCTAACGGTATTCAACACCAATCCCCAAAGTAAGTTCACCATCATAACAATTGACTCCACATTCTCATTATATATTATATCGCCATCGCAATCCGCCAAGGTCACGACCACGACCTCGCCGAACTAGACATGGCATTTCGTTCCTCTAGTACCGTGTGCCCATAGCCCCAGCTCTAAATAGGGGCTACTTGAGCAGTGTTCGAGGAATATGATTCTACTATGATGCGTTTCACTCGGAGGCACGGCAACTGGCGCCGACAATCCGGACGCGTACCTCATCATCGTCATCACCAACTTCTAGGGTTTTGATATCTTGTAGCAGAGTCCGGCTGCGAGTATCTACTTTGAGAGATACAGCTTGAGCGCAGCCAGACCATCGCACAAATCTAAGACGGCGGCTCTCTTCTCCTATCGCGTCGAGGTGGTGGTAGGGAAGCTTCTCGAGCTCAGGAACATGCCCTTGACGCTGCGGATCGCATCCTTGGTCTTCTTCACCTCGTCGGGGGGCTCCGTGCTGCGGCCGTAGCCCAGGCCGCCGTGGATCGAGGAGAAGTCCATCATGGGCGGAAGGCCTATCTTGTCGACTTCGTCGCGGACTTCGCGCAGGAGGGAGTTGAGGTCGGCGGCGCCTTCGGCGTGGCGCACGTGCATGTCGCTTATCTCGCGCAGAGAGGCGCGGAGGGCGGTCAGGCGGCGGGCCTGGGAGTCGATGGGCTTGTCGGCGAGGCTGTTGGTGCTGGACCCGAACTCCCGGTTCATCATGACCGGCGACGTCTGCGTGCCGATGTCGCGGTGGAAGAGCTCGGTGGGGTCGCTGAAGGTGCTCTCGTCGTCTGCGTATGTGCCCTCGTCCAGCCTCGACTTCAACAGCTTGCCGTTGTGGTACGGGACTTCGCTGACGGTGTCCTCGAGCTTCTCCACCAGCTGCCCTAGCTTCTCGCTTACGTGCGCGTAGTAGTCGGCCCGCGCATCGTTCAGGTTGCCGATCATGGGGTTGATGGCGAAGCGTGCGGTGCCGTAGAGTAGCGCCCATATGCTGCCGGAGACGGTGAGGATGTTGGCGAGACGAGAGGGTGTGATGAGAGGTTCGGGTTTAGGCGCGGTGGTTAGGAATTCGGGATAGGTTATGATTGGTGTTAGGTTGCTCGTTGACGATGAAGCTGCCTGGGTAAACTTCTCGACATCTCTACTTTCCTCCGCGGCCTGTTTCCCATTTGCCTCGGCGTTGGATTCGTTAGTCGTGGGTGGACTCGGAGCCTGTGCCTCCTGCTCAACTTCATCTAGCAATTGTTGGATTTGAGCGTCGTCAAGTCCCTTGCCCTTGAGGAATTCCCTTTTCTTGTCTATGCTTGAGTTCTGAACCGTCTCGTCCTTCAGAAACTTTCGGGCTTGGTCGAGGGTGACTTCTGCCGTATCGACATCCTGAGAGTTGCTATTTTCCGGCGCACTCTTTTCCTTCTCGTACTGTGCATGCTGCCAGGCCGGTATCTTTGACAGTTTGGGATCGGCCATATCGCACTCTTCTACCTATGTAACCTAGTGAAGTATATAAACTATAACTAATTAAAATATCAAGCGGGAAACGATTGGGTTTGGTAGCAGTTTGGTAACCAGGTAACTTAGTAATAACATGGAAACATGGACACGGCAACGCGAGGTCCACGGGTACCAATCTTATCTTTGTCAGCCTCGGTACATTCTCCGAGCGCTAAGTTGGAACCGACCTAGGTAGGTACATACCTAGGTAGCTTTTAGCTAACTAGGGAGTACTTAGGTACGTGTTGATGGGGAAAGATAGGACCACAAATGAATTTAGCAGGGTTGTCTAACAATTTATAACTTGAACAACTTGAACAACCCATCACTTAAGCCTTTATTCCGTACCGACCTTACTTACGTGTATGTGCATACCTCACGTACATATCTTATGTACATGCGCGAGTTCTACACGTGACACAATCCTCAATCGCGCCCTTCAACTCGAATCATTTCATCGTCAATACGATTCTTTCGGTTGGAGAAGGGATAGAAGATTCAGCGGCGAGGATCATCTCAATCCCAGGCAAGATTTCGATTTCACTTGTTTAAGACTCCCTATTTTGCTCCATCTCATATCGCCACCTTTTAATCATTCTTCGGGTCGTATATATTGAATACTCCGAGACGTGCCTCCATCTCATTATCACAGGTTGAAAACATTGGTACCCACCCGCATCACTACCGACGATCAAGAGAAAAGGCCATTCGATTCCCTATTCGATTTCAGTGGAAGTGAGCGCTTCCCTTTGCTGTCGAGCGTCGCCCCCCCTTGGTTGTCACACCTCGAAGCTCGGTTACTTGGAAGATTAAAAACCAGAAGACTTCCCGAACCGCAAGCCAGTCGTCCAAAAAGTCGCCAAGCTTTGACGAGGTGCCCAGCTGGAAATCGAAAGGTATCCAATTGAAGAGAGTCGCCTATCATTAGCCTAGTCTGTCAGCCACGGCTGGAGATATACGAGGATCCTTGGGGTTCTCAATTCATCATGTAAGTCTTAGATGCAAATCCTAATAATGAGCCCTTCTTTCTCTCGTCAGCATATGTCAACTTCCCTGTCCCGAATTCATCAATGCCTCTACCAATGTCTATTAGGAGTAAAGGGGGGTAGGTATGAGGGGAAGTATATCGTGAATTGTCCGCGTGATGGGAAATGACATACGGATGTTCAAGCGAATAGGTGATGATAGGAGAAGTAGGAGAAGATGGATTAAAGAGGGGAATGAAGATGATGGGAGTGATGGGAGTGATGGGAATGATGGGAATGATGCAACTCGATGCCGATGCGATGCATAACGCAGGTCTAAGGCTTGGTTTTCCTGGGACGTGTACGAGGTATAAAAGAAAATCTTTGTTGCCGGGGGTTGGCTGCATTGATCTAAATGCTGCATCCTGCATCGACTACATGGAAAAGAAGGGGAAAGGGTCTTGGTGTGTTGCCTCAAATATTTCGTTGAACAAATTCAACTGGTTGAAGCTTCGATCCAATGGCCAATGACCAATGACCAATCGCAATCACATATCCTCCGATCCAAAGTATCCAAGCGGCGGCAACCTGCTTTTTCTACACGTACCCAACGCGGACTTGTTTGCGTACCGCAGGCACCAAAGGCACCAAAGGCACCAAATGCACCAAAGGCCACCATCAGGCAACAGCTGTGTCACGGCATCTGACGCCCCAAGCTTATTTCAACCTCGACAAAACCAAAAATAAAAAGAGAAACGGCCCCTTACGCCTTTGCGCCTTTACGCCTTTACGCGCCACTCCCCCAAAAAATAAAATAAAAACCTACTTGACCTTCTTTCATTTCAAACACCAATTTCGTCATTCGTCATTCAATCATAAAACTTCACTTATTCCCCCTCATTCACCCTTACTTAAAATAACATCTCATCTCCTCCCTTACCTATCCTTAAAACATACCCCAACCTATCAGCTCCGATCACTTACCCCAAAAATGACATCTCGTCCACGTCGTGCAGCGGCCCAGAGGGCAAACACGGCTATAACTGACATGGTCGATAGCGACAACCATATCAATAGTCGTACGGGCAGAACAATGTCCTCCAGGACTTCTCGCCGATCTGAGGGTAAGAGTGCCGTAGCATCTGACTTGCGCGGTCCTCCTTCCGATCCCTCAGATTCTAACCAGCATATCCATTTTACAGTTAAGCTTCCAGCAAGCAAGCTTCGCCAGGCCACTTCTAGCCGCCAGCAGCCATCAACCCCTAGAGCCGGGGATGGAAAGCGGAATCGTTCTCAGAAGAAGAGCTACGTTGTCGATTCTAGTGATGAAGAAGACGAAGACGAGGCAGAAGACGAAGTTCAAGTTGAAGAGGATGACGACGATGACGATGACGATGACGACGACGACGACGATGCTGAGGGAGAAGATGACGACATGGCGGATGAAGACGCCGAAGGCGAAATCGTTGTCGACGACACTATGGACATCGATGCCGAAGGAGACGACGATGATCTCGGCGAAGAAGATGCCGAGGGCGAAGACGACGACATGGATGTAGACTCCATCCCCCCTCCAGCACCTGTAATCAAAGTCTCAAAGCCCCAAGCTAAGAGCACCCCTACCGGCAAGTCAAAGGCCCCTGGTAAATCTAATTTGAAGGCTGCCACTTCTCAAGCGAAGGACAGCGACGAAGATGAGGAACTTAGCGAACTTGAAAGCGATGCCGACGAAATTCAGGATACTGTTAAAGTCGGAGGTGGTGACGAAGAAGATGCCGAAGGGGAGGATGAGGAAATTGAGGCAACTAATATCGCCGAGGATGACGAAGACGACGACGCTGATAGTGACGGCGGCGCCGAAACTCCCGATCTCACACGAATGACCAAACGGCAGCGTGCCCGCTTTGAGGAAAATGGAGATTCACTGATGAAGCTCTCTGACGGCAAGTAACCCACATTCATCGCCGGGGTCTATACTAACACAATTACAGAGGTACAAGCAAAGAAGCATTTCACAGCCGAGGAACTCTCTATGCGCCGTGCCGAGATGGCTCGTCGACGTCGTAATTTGAGTGAAAAGCGAAACGAGGAAGTCAAGGTAAGCCAGTGGTGCTTTTCAACAAAAAAAAGTATATTAAGGCCATGAGAGTATGTCAGCTAATAAATCGAACTATAGATGGAGACTATAAACAAACTGCTTAAAAAGCAGGCCCCCAAGACTAACCGCAAGTCTCAGCTTGCTGGAGAGCTGACTCCTGATGACGAGTCTCGGAAGCCTAATCCGGTGTTTGTCAGATGGGTTAGCAGCAAAGATGGTATTCGAGTCGGTGTTCCTGGTGAGATGCTTTCTGGATCATCCGGTAGAGTTTTCGTTCCAGGTGGCCTTGGACGTGGGAAGATGGTAGAGGAAGTCTCGTAGAACGAAGAGGATCACGATCTTGATTCTTAATCCCGGACCGAAATAACTATTCTCGGGTTTCCGGTTATTTCCTCCAAATCGACAGACGTCATAAATGCTTCGTCGATAATATCTCCTAGATTACATTAATGAGTGTGTGTATTATAGGCTCGTCATATTTCTTCAGTACTAAGGAAATTAGGGCGGCATGTTATATTGTATCAGGGTTAGAGCTTATTAAGAGCTTAAAAAATAGCAACGGCGGTGATTTAATAGAACGGTGCTTTGACGGCAGTATTGTGTCTCGGACCTCATTTTCCCTATATAGTTACTAGTAGATTATCTCTGTTTTTTATACCTGCCCGGGTTAGGTGCCCAACTTAATAGAATTATTCTATTAGATTGATATGTATCAGTCACAAATATTAGAGAATACCTACTGACTAAGGTATTAAAACATGGGACTCCGTATCAACTATTTGTTGGTGAACATGTTCTTTGTAAAGTCAGGCGCTTAGTTTAGAATATTAAAAGTATGTATATAGCATTGGACTGTACTTAAACGTATACCTACACCCGTATCGGCACACTCTCTAGTTAAAGTCGATACGATAGTTTTAAGTAATGCTTGCTTGCTCATACGCACGATACTGTATCTACCTGGCCTCGAATTTAATACAACTTCATTAGCATTAGTCCACGTGGACAGCGCCTATCAGCTTTCACAAAGACTACCTTTTTAAACAATGTATTGTATCCTCGTACATTTGCCGCGCACACTGCCATTGTACTTCCCTCCTAGGGCCGATGACCTGAGAGTATTTAAACGTGCCCTCGTGAAAATTTCGGCGTAGTGAGTGGCTAAAAATATTATCAAGAGACTGAAGTCACAACCTGCCAGGTGTGTCTGTGTCTGTGTCTGTGTCTGTGTCCGTGTCCTCGAAAAAAGCGCCCACTTGCCGTCTCTCGCGTAGTAACTTAGATTAGGTGCATTTATTCCCCGCGGTCTGTTCCTTCCAAGGGCCTCAATTATTTTGTGGGAGTTTAGATCATTCGAATTAAAACTTGTTCCACCTCTTGTCAACAAATTCTACAGCTGGTGCTTCATGCTTGACTCACTACCTGCCAGCTGTACGATATTCGCAGGAACCACAAACAGCACCGAATATCGTCACCTTACACATACATAGGCGGTCATAGGTGGTAGTCATACCACTAAGTTGGCCTACCTCAAGCCACAAACCATTCGCTTGTGAATAGATGTTTATTGAATAACTCGATTCTTGGGCTGCTGGATTTGAACCTTGGACGTCTTCATTCTCAACCTTACACCCCATTATCCAATTCCCTCTCTCGACTTTTACCAGTCTGCTTCTCCCGGAAATTATACACAAGAGTCTCAAGTTAAACCAAATTTATCAATCACCTCAACACTTTTCATCTACTTCCCAAGGTACAACCGGCCGCTTTCTACCCATCATCACTTGGATTCTATCATTTCTCTCCTCTCTACACTACGCTTCAACAAGCAAACCGTCACGATGGCTAAAAAGCGAGCATTCTCTTCCGAAGAGGGAGACCGCGCTGGCCACAAACGCATTCGCACTCGCACCAAATCGGCCCCTGACGCGAGCGACGACAAAATAAATAAGGCTATCAACATGGCGTTGAGCAAAGCCAGCGTTGGGAAGAAATACACCTGGATGAACCGGGTAAGATCGTTCCCAATCTTTTGCAAAATCTCTATCAAGTCTAGTTATAGCAATATGTTATCTTCAAGGTTGCGTAGTGCTGACTAGTTCCTACAGGAGACCGGTACTCTTCAGAAGCCTGAACCTCCCGTCTACAAGACTAAGGGAAAAGAAGAAGAAAAAGGGCTTGCGGACTGCCCGGGAAGCCCCGAGTCATACACCACTGCCTACACCACTGCCCCTCCTACAGTTGCCAATGACGGCCCTATACAGCCGAGCATTGAGAACGCGTCTGGAGACGCACCCGAGGACTTCGACGAAGAGCTGGCGGAAATGGAAAAGGCACTGGCTGACGACGAAGAGTCCGACGAGATAGTGGCAGCTATGGAGAAGGAATTGGCCGAGGACCAGATGCTCAAGTCTAGGTCTGGTAGCGGCTCCTCGGAGTCCCCTATCGTTATTTCCTCCAGAGAACCTAGCCCTGTCAACATCCCGTCTAAAGAGGATACGCCTACCAAAAACATCACAGACTCGAAGAAGCCAGCCCTCCCGACTCCACCCAAGACGGACAATGAGGAGAAGCCTGAACAGCAGAAACAGAAGAAACCGGCGAAGAAACCGGTGCAGAAGAAGCCTAAGCAGAAGCCTGTTGTCCAGGAACCCGAGGAAGACCCCGCCGTGGCGGAAGCTCAAGAGCGAGAAGAGCTGTTCGCCATGCTAGACTACATCTACCAATTTGCCTATTAGGAGGCATTTCCGTTTCCCACTTTGACGTTCATCCCATTCACAGCATCGGAAAACAAGCACGAGCCAGTAAGGCACAGGCCAGTGACGAAGAGACAAGACTTTACATTCAAGGGCATAGATTGCATTTCATTACATCATCGAAGATACCCATTATTTGTTTTTTTAAGAACCTTGGGTCTTGGTATTACTACTACATGCGACTCAGACTGGATTATGCGTCGGAAGGATATAATATACGCATGTTTGCGTTGAGATTGGTTGTAGGCTTTTGGCGGCTGATGCGAGAGGGGAAATGTCTGCCTCCTGCGTATTGATGCGCGTGAGTTGGTCGTCAAGCTATATAATCACCTATAAATACAAAATAAACTTAACATGAAATTGGTTACAAGTGAAATTTTGAATTTAGTGATATGTTGGTGCAGTCGTCAAAGCAGTGGCGAATTTGTAGGTATTGAGGTATTCGTAGTCTTCCATCTTTATAAAAAAGTTGCCGCTCTATCAGAAAGAACCCTTGATTGATGTCATATTGAACTATTAATACATGGCCCCTCTATCGTCTTCCGAGGGCGCTACAGGCCTCTCATATACCTAATCCTAATAAATATACCCCTGAATCTACCCCTAATCCACATATTCCCTGACGCGCTCCTACCGATGCATAACCACCTAAAGTTTCCCGTGTATCCTAACTCTACCAAGCCAAGTCCCAGGGCCAACCGTGTTATCCATCTAAACTTCAATGCGCACGAGAGGATAATCGTTTACTAGCTACCCATGACAAGTAGTTAAGTCTATAATGTACGATAGAATCGCTTAAACCAAGTCTATCGTGTCTCACATATTATACATCTGCCATAGCGAAACTTCGCAATTAAATTCACCAAGAACCAAAGCAGATAGTTTGGGTTTTAGATTTAGAGCATAATGTAATAATCGTTTGGTAGTCTTTCTTTTTTATGGTTCTGGTGGCCTCTGCGGGGGAGGCTGCTCCTATGCTTCGCTTGAAAAGGAGGTAAAATAGGGGTTATTGCGAGATGGGGTTATTGTGTATTAGAGTTGGACAGTATACCTCTATGTAATGTTATACCTTTAACTCTATTTACCTATATAGCACGGGTAAATACAACTAGGTTAATAAGATAAATAAGCGTAGTTATATCTCAGAGGATTTTTTTAGTTTGGGGGTTTGATCCCTTTACGCTATGTACTAAATTCAACTTAAAGAAGTTTTGCCTCGTTTTGATTCGTGTTTCAAAGCGGCAAAACTATTCAATAAGCTCTTAAGGATTTTTTTATTTTATTTTTGGTTTTATAGACCTACTAATCTTTTTCAACTGTATACAACGTATGGTGGCTGGCTTGATGCGCTTTTGTAACTTCGGCTCACGGGCACCCTAGACTCGCCACATAGACTATTTATGAAGTAGTTAACATATAGAGTGCCGTGGAATCGGCCACGTATACTCTAGACTTTCTATCAAGCATATGCTAGAAAATATAGCTATAATAGTAATTAACTTGAGTAGTCAGCGCGTAGACCTTCTACTGCACATTTCTGCATGGTAATCCTCTCAGCTACGTGATCCCTACCAATTCCCCCAAGATCATGGGATTCCGGGCGACTGGGCATCGTCAACTCCGGAATCAAATCCCGGTATTACGTTGTCCCTTGCCAAGTCCAAATTTCTTTTGAAATAGCGGTCGCTAATAGCCATACGTGGCTTAGCCGTAGACCTCTCTCTGTCAAAGTCGTGGCTCATTAACTTGTCGCGAAGTTCCTTGCTGGGGAAGCCGTTATAAGAAACCAGGGGGCCTTTGAACCAAACTCCCCTCTCGTTCTCGATTCTATCGTCGTCTTCCCTGGCAAAGCGCCACCCATGGGTGCTCCCTCCTTGCTTGTGGTACACAACCTTCGGGTGGGTTTCGTCTTCCCATCTGACATCTTCCGCCTTCCGCGTGTCGAAATCTCCGTGACTCCCGGCTGCCACGTATTCTGCTTTTCCATCTTTGACGAAGACGATGACATGCTCCCACTCGTTGCGATGACCACCGACGTCGGCAACATAAGGGACCGCGACGTCCTTCTCGAAGTAGTAGTCGTAAATAAAGGCGCACTAGAAATAACATGATTAGTTGTCATCGTGGTCGTAATTAGATATCTCTGGAAGTCTGTTACCCATCCGTTGTTACAACGCTTACGCGAATAGACGTTATTGTTATCAAGACGCGCAGAATCACGGCAATGTTCTGCGAAAACGGGTTAGTCTGAGAGTATAATGCGCACATGTACGAACTTATCTACATACCTGAGGGTCCTGAATAGTTATGATCCATCCCGGGGTTGATCTGTCCATTGGGACTAATGACCGCCGTGTTATAACAGCTGTCCGTATCAAAATCTGCAACAGGTTGCCATTTCTTGTCGTCTTCTGTCGCCCTTTCAGGGAGAGGCTTAACGATATCCCGAGAGGCTATCTGGTGTGTCCCTGGAATAGGCAATGCCGCTGCATGATTGGCGTATAGGGTTAAGAATAATATCGCTGCTGACTTCGTCATAGTTGGTAGTTTTGCCATTTTTCACTCGGTGTAATAATGAAATAGTCTAGGAAGATGGTCAGGTTATGTCTGTTAACACGAGTAGCTAAGGGCACAAATGTCCTTTTATAATACTGAGCCCCAAAATATTAGGGTTAAATTATAATATGTTGTTATCTAAAGTTCGTTTCTGAATTTCATTTATTATAGCTCAACGATATTAGATTTGAAGTTCTGACGGTCTTGAAAGGAATCTTATTTTAAACATTTGCCATCATTGCTAACAAGGTTACATGTATTAAACAACGAGAAAGGCCTGAACTAGATCATTTAGTAAGGTTGACATTGCGAGCCAAGTATATAAAGTTAGAGAACAGAAGTTATTGCTACATTAAATCTATACGGCGATCGACTTCGAAAACCCCTATCCTACCCACGTAGACAATCCTTGGCGAAATTGAAAGCTTAGCATAAAGCAAAACCACGCAGGGTAATGTCAGAAAAGATATCATCGCTGAGTACCTAACAGGATATAAGATTCCTAAAAGTGCCAACACATTAGATTTAGTTTGGGAATGAAGCCCGAACCTGTCGATGCCTCGGGCCTAATCCCAGCTTCACCCTAACCCACGAGGGTAAGCATTCCATTAACCCGTAATTGGTGTATCAGGTATATAAATGGTGGTGAAGTTCCAAGTCTTTCCATTATCCGCACTCGACATTTCTCCGCCGGCTGCTTCGTACTGCCAGGCGCCACTATGTTCAAAGCTTAGGTCTTCCTTGCTAAGCGTGATATAAATACCTTCCCAGGCTACAGGCATATCATTAGGCCCTCGCTCTATCTTTAAGAAAAGTGTTAGGAACTTAAGGGGCTTGCTGTGTGCTAGGCCGGGAGAACATTTGTCTGCTGTACACTTGATCGAGACGTATAATATTACTCTATGCTGTCCCTGGCCTATCAATATATATATATATATATAACGTCAGAATCTAGAACAAAGAATATGTTCAGAGGTATTATATATAGACGTAGACTCTCGTGGTTGGGTTAGATAGTTATCTAGTTGACTGATCATATATTAAATGATACCCGATTTAATGATCCTCATGATTATAACGTTACTTTGCGGTGTATCATTCTCTTCCAGCTAATATATTACCAATACTAAAAAACAACTGAATTTTCAACTTATAACTTATAACTTGTAACATAACAAGTAGCTTAACCTAGTGTTATAGATGATGTTATATCAATCAACTATCCTACACCCCATCCAAGTCACTTCATAATGTCAATTGCTTCCGATATTATATCACCTCACTAGCATAATTGTTTCCGCACCGCTCGCTCTTCTGGATACCGACGATTCTCAGTTCCTAAGTGACCGCGTTTATCTTGGAATCATTCCTCGCACTTGGTTGCCTCTACGCGATCCCCACTGCGAACTTCCCTCAATATTTTCCACTCTTGAGGTATATAAATGCGCGATACTGGACTCTATGCAAATCGTGCTTACATTATAACTGGGTACTCATTAGAGTCGATGAGCTCATAACACTGTCGGGTCATCAACTAAGCCTCATCCTACTTGTCCAACTTACTTCTGTATCGGATATTCCTACGGCCACTATTTCTTACTTCGGGTATTACGAGAATGAGCCACTGCTCGTTATACCGGATATGTGTAGGATCCAGATAGGTTTCAGGTTTCAGGTTTCAGGCTTTTTCTTTTTCTTTTTCTTTTTTCTTGAATCAATATCTTTTCATTTTCAACTTGTCGATATATTCTTGGTGACTGTTTTATTAGAAGAGACATAAATCAATCTACTTAGTCATTTGCAGTCATGTACACTAGTGACTAGTGTTTAGTATTGAGATGAGACAATTTTCAACTGTACATATGTATCCGTCGTACCTGAATAACCATAGATTAGCCCCAAGTGGCCACGCAAGCACAGGCCAATCTTGGCCACGATTCCCTGCACTCCAGACTTACGGGTGGGTACCAAAGTTTACATGCCCTTTTCGTCCAAGTAAGCGAGCCAATGGATGCGGGGAACTAACAGGGTCAGGTGCCGCGGGCGGTGATCGACAGAGAGCTTTTTATTTTTAGGTTAGTGGACTGGTGGAGGAAGAAACGGCAAGAAACCGCTGAAGATCTGTGATACCTTTGGCTTCTTATGTATTAACTGATTACTTTGACTGGGTATTCTTAACGGTCTGACGGTGCTTGACAGCAAAACTATCTCATCATGATGCCAATGTAACCTTGGAATTTAATAACTTTTATCGATGACGCATGTTATTACTTTACCATGTCTTTGCTCTGTCTTTGCTATTAGGTATTATCCAAAGTTTCGCGGTAATTGGCAAGGTGGTTGGTTAGGTCTTACATTCTTTCGGCATATGTAGGTAGGTACCTAAGGTATGTACATAGGTAAGTAACGACCTTGGCTGTTTCCCTGATTTCCTCAGCGAAACTTCATCGTGGATCCCCCCGGTCGAACTGCATCTTAGACCTGCAGCTAGCCTTCGATAGCGCATCAGCTACCTACCTAACCTTAGGTAATGTTAATAATATGGAATACATAATACTTGTTAATTACCTAGTAACCTAACCTAGGCAGTTGACCAGAAAAAAAAACCTTCTCTCTTCTTCAATACTACATATATCGCCTACTACCGGCATACACGAGATGCATTGTATCACTACTGACCTTCGGGACTCTGCGCGATGGACTCGATAAGTTTGGTGGAACCCTAAAAAAGTAACTATGTAAAAAAAACAGGAACGATAGCGAGATTTGGTGCATATTCTGCATACAACATAACAACATAACAACATAACAGCATATCATACCTACACTATTTACAGTATTTTGCACATTTGGTCACACGACACGCACAACACCACGATCCTCGGCTGACACAACAACAGCGAATTGTGTATAGGTACCTAGGTCGTCTGATGCATAAACTTAGGTTCATGAATTTAGATTAAGATTACAGGTTGGCCGCTTAGTCCCCGAACCTACTATCTTCAAAGCCTCTGATCAGCTGTAATCAGACGAGGCTTTTTTGTTTCTTTCTGTTCTTCTTCTTCTTCCATTCTTCCTTCAGGATGCAGGTCTCAGAAGGAAATCCGTCAGCACCGGCGGACTCCCCGTCAGTCGACGCCCATATCCCAACTGGGCCTAGTCTTGGCCCTGATCCTGGCCCTGACAGTCAGCCCTCGGGTTCTATCAATACTTCCAATAATGAATGCAAATGCAAGTGTAAGTCAATTTGACTTTTCTATTTTCCCATTTTCCCATCTTCCATTCTATACTTTTCTTCTACTCTCTCCCAATCCTGTTTATCATGATATTACCATGATATTACCATGATATCACCATGATATTACGGGAGATTTGCCTTCCTTCGGACAACCGTCGGTGGTTCTCGAGATGGCAATGATCGGACGTATCCTTCTACATAGTATTGTATTCACTTCCCTAGTCCTACCCTCGTGTCAAGGAACTTAGTCAAGCCACTTAAGACATATTAAACATCATCTATTTATCAATTTGCCATCGCACAATCCCGCATTCACATGTATTTTCGGCCAAGCTCTTAAGAAGCCAATACACGCGGCACCACACGGTCTAAGGGGTTACTGTTACTTAATGGGCATGGTTTGACTGATGCGGTTCTTAGCGAATGTGCCAATCTTTCATGGCACCACCAGTCACCTTGACTCCCACCCTCATTCCCCGCACCCCACACAAGCGGAAACTCAGATTGACCAGACTATATCATCAACTGGGGCCGGCCCAGTTAGAAGACTCTCTGCCTCTTCACCCAAGATGTTGTTCTCAGATTTGTATAAGTCGACTAAATCCCCCCTCTCGAGGTTACGGCATCACTCACATCCGGCCCCTGCGGCTCTGGATTATGATCCCGATCTCGTGAGTCGAGATAAAGCCAAGCAAAAAGAAGCTATTAAGCGCGTCCTCGCGGCTAAGATACGTAATGATTGGCACTTCGAATGGCCGCCTGCAGCTGTCAATCCAGACCCGGGACATGCTGAAACAGAAACGGCACCTGACGGGCACGATGACGGTATTGTCGTAGAAGATATCGATTCGGGAGACGATACTGCTTCGGTGTATAGCACCGTTTCGGAGGATCTTACTCATTTTCGCCCTAGGTCTGAGTGGCTATCGGATATGCCCGATGACGACGACGACGACATCCCTGTATCACCATCCGCATATCGTTTTGATACTCCAGATGCGGTTGGCACTTCGGTGAAGGTAGCAGCCCTCGCTAAGAGCGCCAGGCGGAGGAGGGCCGTGCGTTCTGAAATGGAATGGAATGATGGGCTTGCTTGCTTCAATGCTCGGCGAGACGCTTGGACGGGTGCAAAAGCAGCTCGAATCCGTCCAAAGGCGACTTCCCCAGCGGTTAGCTCCCCTACCGCAAAGCGTCTTTCTTGGTGGCATATCTCGACTTCACCGTCGCCCTCGTCGCCTACGGAATCGATTGGTGCCGGCACAACGCTTAGCCCTAGTGCGACGCGTACATCTGGCGACACTACTGCGGTGTCCTCGTCGGATGCGGAATTCAGAGAGACAAGGACCAGATGTGACTCATCTACTTATCCGGTAGAGACCCTGGTTCCCATACCCCAACCTCTTTTGCCTCCTGCCACTCCTATGCGTGCCTCTATCACCGTGGCTGCGTATCCTACTATTTACGATAAGATCGTAGTTCAATCTGCAACACCCTCGTGTCCTGTTAACCTAGGAGACGTAGTACGTTCCTGCGTGGCCGGTTGGAAACGAGATGGCGAGTGGCCCCCTCGAGGTACCGATCCTCCACCCGTCGTAGCAATTCGTAGGAAGAAGGACAGCAGCGCGGGAGGCAGAAATAACGCACCGAAAAGCAACGCGTCTAAGAGGATGAGCTTTAGTTTTCTAGGGCGAAGACAGAGCGTAGGTGGGGACCAAAACAACCTAGCAGAAAGTACATCGCATCCAGAGAAAGAAGATGCTAGCCATACAACTGGCAAGGTTTTTAGGAAAGGGTTACAGCGCGTGTTAGGCCTTGGACACGGGGGAACGTTGGGCAGCACGGGTAATCAAGCGGGTATTGCTATGTGATGGACGTGGATTAATGGGAACGAATTAATACCCAAGAAGTCGATGTCGCAGAAGGTTAGGGGAGGGACAAAGGAGTATTGGACAATGGCGACATATCCGCTAGGGCTGTTAGGAGGAAACGCGTTCTCGGCATCTTGGCAATATACCCAGCATCGCTTTCGGCGTTTACTTATTTTACTTCAACACTCCGCCCTTTTGGCGTACACATAGCACTTTTGATACCTTGATATGCTCATTCCAGAATGAAAGTAGCAGGCATTCGCCGGTTTTCTCTTACCACTACGTACGTCGATCACGGTTCTCTTGTGCATTGTTCTATGGAAATCGGCAGTGTGGCTTGGATAGCGGCTATGAGAAGGTTATACTATCTTGTCTTTGAGCCGGAGAACGAAACGCCATGCAATTAATGAGTGGTAATGAACATAGGTAATAGAGAACCATAATTGTAGGTAAGGTAAATTACGAATTAACCTCAACTTGAAAGTGACTATCAAAGACGGCCTATTTAGCTTCGTACTCGGATGCACAGGATATATGTGTATTAGTTCGAAGGATAAATAAACTGCAACGGTCATCTTTGCCAGTTTGCTGGGCTATAGGCCGGAACCCGGTTTCTCTCTCAACTTACAAGACGCTGATGTTCGGTAAGCATAAGTCAACCTTCGTTACAAAGACTCGAGCCTAACATATATTAGGTAGGTTAAGTTAGGTACCTGTCTTAAGCACACAACACGTCAAACGCCGAAACTGTAACTATAACCGTAACCGGAAGACTTAGACTTTCATCTCTCATTACTAGCGTAACCATGTGATGCCCATCCGCGTAGGCTTTTCTAATCCTACACACCACACACCAAGGCGAGAAAAGAAGATAAATAAAAAATAAAAATAAAAAATGGTTCATCTCCAAAAAAACGCCAGTTGATAGTTGCCTTTTCCCCAGCTCTTCCCTTCCCCCTATCCATTTCCCCGGCCTAAATTATTTCTCAAAGACGATGACCCGCCCCATCGACATTGGACCCGACCGAAAAGGAGCCACCTTATCCCTAAGTAAGTAGCCTGCGCGCCCGCCTGTTAATAAAAACCAGAAAAAGCCGTCGAAGAAACCCTAGGGTAAATGTAGGTAGGAATAACACACGTTGCCCGCGGCAAGAACTGAAAAACTCCTGACACAAGCTTTGCTCCGATCCAATATGATATGACAAGAGCAGAATCAACCAAAGCTGTCCTCGCAGCCCTACTTCAGGACAGACATAGACTCATCTGTAACCCTATCATCCTGCACGACACCGCTGCGCACCAACGCATCCCACACCTTATCGCTCTTCCTCTTTTTGAGCCCCGCAGCCGACGCGTCGACCGGCAAGCCATCTAACATCCTAAGCCGACGACACCGATCCAGCACGACCAATTCGTACAGCCTTCGCCGCATGCGCGTGCCCATATCCGAGCGGCTCGCAAACTTCTCGTCTCTCGCCACGTCCGCGTCCGGCAGCGTAAACGGATCGAAGCCCTTGGGCCCTTCCGCAGGCACGAGGGCCTGGATCGGGCCGTAGAAGCCAAGTGTCGCGGGATTGTTCCGAAGGTCTAGACGCGATAGATGTGGGAATCCAGCTAGCACGTCGGCGACTTGCGCGGGGTCTACGAGCCTGTTCCCCGCGACGAGGAGTTTCTTTAGCCGTGGGATGAAGCGCAGGGGCATGAGGTCTTCGATCGCGTTCATGTTGAGGTTGAGCACCCGCAGGTTCGGCATTAACTGTCCGAGATCCGGCGGCAGGCGTTGGAGACCGCAGTTTGCTAGCTCGAGGTACTGTAGGTTGAGGAAGTCTACGGATGGGTTGAACGACGTGAGAAAGTTGCCGGAGAGAAAGAGTTTGCGGATTTCGTAGGCAGCGTTTAGAGATGATGCGTCCAAAGGCACATCGCCTTGTTGCTCACGGAGAGAAAGGCTGTCGAGACGACGGCATCGGGAGAAGCCCGTAATGGTGGTCAGTTGGTTCCGGTCTGCGTGTAGGAGACGCAGCGAAGAGAATGGTGCCAAGTCGAGAGCCGTAAGGTCGTTATTAGAGAGGGTTACGTATTTGAGATTGGGAACTGAGACATCCGTGCTCGGGCCAAAGGACGATAGGTTGTTGTACTGTAAGTTGATAGAAGCGAGACTCGTGAGCTGTTCGATGCCCTGAATCGAGCTGATCTGGTTGTTCTCCAAGTCGAGCTCGGTTAAGCGCTGCAGCCTTGTGCCATCCAAGTTTACCTCGCTGAGAAGATTGCCTCTAGCTCGGAGGATTTGCAAGCTATCATGCATCTTGATACCATCCAGATCAGTGATCTGGTTGTTGTCGGCGCGAAGGTTTCGCAAGTGGACAAGATCCCTAAAAGCATGTAGACTGCTGATCTGATTGTTCGACACATCCACATACTGTAAGTTCATTAAGTGGCCCCATGCCGTCAACTCGGAAAGATGATTATGGGTGATGCGCAAGTTTCGAACGCTTGCAGGCATGCCGTCTAGGTGCTCGATGGCGTTGTTTGATGCGTTAAGGGTGACAACGTTGGTGCAAAATTCGTCCAGCATGTGAAGTGTCTTCAATTGTTTGTTATTGATATCCAACTCGTGCATAGACTCCCAATCAGGCTCGAATGGTTCGACCTCGGTGATCTTCTCGACCAGGTTTTGGATGGCTTTGGACATGATCTTCTTGGAGCCATCTCCAGTAGCAAGATAACGGTCTCCTACAACATAGCTGACTTCTAATCCGCAGGACTGATCCGCCTGGTGCATAGTGAAATCGGACAGAGGACTCAGTGAGAAAGTGCCGACATACTGCCCGATGATTGGCGTCGCAGAGCCCTGCGAAGTTTTTGGAGCTGGCGTTACCACGACGCTTACACTAGTGTTCCCCTGATGGTTATTTTCTGGATAAGCAATACTATCGTCTTCGCGAATACTGATCTGACGCTCATCGGATTCTGTTTGCTCTCCGCTCGCATCTTCGTCCCGCTCGTCAATTCGTGAAACGGGTCGTGGGACGAATTCCCGCCCTTTAACCGACAAATTCCTTGCAGAACGACTTCGTGACCTCGACCCGGTAGTCGAACTACTGACGGGTTTAGGTGCCTTGGAACGACCTCCGCGTTTAAGTGAATTAATTGCCACGTATTCAGGTAGATCGTCTAAAAGACCCAATTCCTGACCCGCATTGTCATCATCAGAAAGATGGGCGACATCTTGTATGATGGAAGCAATTGGTGATGAAAACGAAATTGTGAGATTTCTTCGTCGCGACGAACTCGATCTTTGCATCCGGTCTTCGTGTATTGTTATCTCGTGTTCAATCTCCTTATCGTCTTCGACTGCTGTCTCTACTAACGGTTGTTTCATTCCCGTGAACACCTCGTTTGTATGGCTCAAAATACTTTCGTCATTAAAGGAGTCGGGTATTACGATAGACGACTTATCAGGGGAAGGCATCATAGAAGACTCTTCTTGTAGGGATAGGTCATTGCCTTCTGGATTATGTTCTGTGGGTGATTCGAGATGCTCCGTCTCCTTAATTGTATCGACTGAAAGATCCGGGATACTAGCGAAAGGATCCTCGCTGTCTTCGGACGGAAGAATATTTCTACCATCCAAACTAGGACGTGGCTGTTTGACTTTATACCATACGTTCCTTTCTTTATCAAATACCATATTGCCCACTTGGTTACCGATGAGGGGTGTGACGACATCTGGCGCAATGAGTCTCTTTGAATCTGATGCGTGTGAGGAATTGGTATGGATGGAGCGCCCAGTGGAAGCACCAGAAGATCGTGTCCCGTTCGTAGGGAACTCGATGGTGTTCTCACTAGGTTCCGGGAAATCTGGGTTACGCGAAATCCTGATGTTGGAAAGGTCGCCGATTCCATCTTGATCGTCAGGTGGACTATCCCATCCATTTTCAGAGATAAAGCTTTGTCTAATAGACTCGCTAAGGCTATTAGCTTCATTAATAGCTTCTCTGATTCGGCCCATCGAATGCATTGAATTCGTTATGATTTCTCCCAAATCACTGGCTTCCTCGTATTGCTTCAGCCGATCAGCAAGCGTCGGATCCTCTTGATGGGTTGGCACTCTGGTTAGAGGAGGTCCTTCTCGGCTCGGGGGTCGCAAAAACGGTTCCTGCGTGGATTCCTGTACTGAACTCTCATCCCCAGCCGCAACAGTTACGTCGTGCTGTTCAGTAATCTCAGCCTCAGATTCCTCCACGCTACTAAGGTCGTTCTTCGGTCGAGCCTTATTTCGGATCATTGCCATTATCTCCTCTGCAGCATCGAAAAAATCTTGGGTTTTCATAGACGTCCTTGCGGATCCATTAACAGCAAAATCCTGGATCGATACATCTGGTACATCATTCTGATGATCCGGGTTGAAGGTAAGACTGGCAAGTGGTTGTCGCCCATGTGATGTTGACGGTCGTTGCCCAGGAGTTGGTGACCTTGGTCGGAACATCTGGTACATCGGTAAACGGGTTGGACTATCAGATTGCTGTGGTGCACTTTGGCCAGAATGTTGTCTCCTCCCCTCCATAATCGATTGCATGGTTCTATGTGAAGATTGCACAGACCCTACCGCCGTGTGTTGGTCTTCTAGCCCGTACGCAATGTCCGATCGGTGAAGTGTTCTCCTCCTTTTCGGGGTGGGATCTTTAGATGGTGAAGTCCGTGGCCTCTTTCCATCCGAACTATCCCTCTGCGGCGTTGCGTGAATACCTCCAAAGGGCCCAGGCGGATATGAAGAGCTTTGTGGCTTTAAATAATTGGCAATCCTAGACATAGTGATGCTGCGTCGGGGAGAGAAGGAACTGCTAAGTGGTCTATGGCGCCGGCGCTGTATGGCGAGGGATCTTCCACTTAAAGACAAGTCCTGGGGAAATTGAAACTTCAAAAATTGACTTGGCGGGAGCGAGTCGTCTGCAGGTGCCATATTCTCTTTGTTTGTCAATTGTGAGTAATCAATCGAATTCTGAGTGATGTCTTCGGTGAATTCGTAGCCATCTAGCTCTCCAGCTCCAAAAGTGCTAACGTCCAGATTTTCGTGATAGTCAAAGCTAGCCTGTGGAGCCCTTCTCGGGCCAGACTCAGTCCTGAACCCCTTACTTCCGCTAATTCTTGAGGGTGATTCTTGCATCGACAGAGCATCAGTCTCGTTCGCCATTGTGCGTGAGATAGGCTCTATCATTTGGTCCTCAAACTGGCTTATGCGTCGGAGAAGAGTCTGATTCGTGAAGGTATCATATGGACCAAATAGCTTCAGGGGACTACCGCTCTGGCCCGAAGACGGTTGAGATCGTTTCTCGGGACTTGGGTACGGCACGGGAGGTAAGATAGGACTAAGGGCAAACTTCAGTTCGTCTTTTCGTTCATCCGACGCAACGCGATCTATTCTAACAGTTGGAAACTGCTTTGGTGTACTGGCCTGGAGTGACGATTCTGGAAGCATTTCCGAAGTATCAAGATTTAGTGGCGGGCTAAGAGGGCGTTGACGGAAAGATCCGTCTTTCGAGCGCCCACCTCGCTGAACATTCAAAAAGCCTCCATTTTTTATAAAATCGTCAGTTGTGTCAATCTTCTGGGTGTCGTCAGCAACAGGGGCCGGTCTCTGTTCTGAGTGACCATCAGGCTCGAAGTCTAATAACATTTGGTTTCTCCTGAGTTTGTCGAGGCGCTTACGTAGCTGTTCTGCCGGAAGTTCCACGGGAGCGAAGTTCACCTGTCCGTCTCCAGAGTCATGGCGTGATAATAAAATCGGGCTTAGATCCTCATTTCTAATAACACTTTGCCCGCTAACCTTACGTGATGCATCACAGTCGTCGTTAAGACTGTAAGAGATGTTAGGTTGCTCCCTACGTTCGCTTCTTCCCTCTTGGCTGCCATGGTGCTCGTCGTCTGTTACATCATCTCCGCTCGGTTCGCCAACCATCTCTTCCGTCATTCGAAATTTTATCTGCTTGCGGTGTGGACGAGGTTGCCGGACCAGAGATTCGTTAGCGAATTGTTCGAAGCTTCGCTCGTCACAAGTCTGATGTCTCGAATAGGGCGGAGGACTCGAAGGTAGGGTCGATTCATTAGCGGTATCTTCTTCGTTCCCGGCGGATTCGTCCCCTGTGGATTCCTGGGCCACAGGTGGTCGAAAGATGTTTTCCAATCCTGTCCCGGCGGAACTAAAAAGGTCCTTCGACTCTCCGTAATTTAACTCCCCATAAACCAGTCGTCTTCTCCATTCGGGCACATTATCCTTAGATTTAGACGGGGAAGAACTCTGTGACTTGTTATGCTGAACGGTATTATGAACGACAGACGCAGCACTAGAAGCGGATGTCGACCGACGAAGATAGCGTCCCCCTCGGGAAGTCTCAACTGCTTGAGGAGGCTTTGAAGGGGTATGTTGCGCTCCTCGGCTATTAACACCGTTTATGCTTCGTTCACTTAGTATATTAAAAGCGCTACTATCGTGCGCCGATTGTTGCGACTTTCTTCCTGTAGCATTTGCAGGGTTGAATCTCGGTATGCGACTAGCGGGTTCGTGTAAACTTCTGCGACTCGTGCTGGCCCTGGAGCTCGAAAAACTGGGTAATTGCGCCTGCGAAGTATCGGACCTAGGCTGAGATACCCAGTCCTCGGAAAGTGAGTCGAGCCAGGCCTGGGCCATGGCGGGCAAATATGGTCAGGGTATTGACGCGACGAGTAGTGATCAGCAACACTGGCGATTGTCCATGAAGTAGCTATATCAAGTTCCGGTGCTGGTTTGAAGCTTTTTAATAATAGTCGCGTATCTACCTAACGTATGATTTGTGACTGTATAAGTGGTGTATGTGTATGTGTTGTGTTGACAATGATGCGTGTAAAAGTACCTAACCTAAGTGTAGGCGCGTCTGGAAATATGATTGCGATAAGAAATGTGTCGAGAGGAATTGAGTTTAATTATCGCAACATTTACCAGGGTATTTCATCAGAAGAACAACTCCCAGTCCGTTATCGCATCTAAATTAGGTTCGTAAGGCGCGAAGGTTAGGTTCTAAGGTATGTAGATAGCAACATACGTAATAAGTGGCGGGCGTGTTGTGCAGGCGGTGTACCGGTATACATACCGTTCATACCGTCACTCTTCTCATTCCTTACCCGATTTTACCGTTTGTTGGTCAAAGCACCCGACGACAACTGGCCTTGCATTTACCGGTTTCTGTAGCAACGGCGCCTCATTTATTCAGCCCCATCTACGAAGTACATACCTAATTATCTAATCGTCTAACCGTTTCTAGCCACATCCACTAATTTCAATTAACGCGCTTAGTCGCGTCTTTCGCGATCCCTTAGGTCCCCCTACTAGGTAGGTTAGGAAGTTACTAAAGTAGGTAGTTACATTAAATTATGTAGTTACCTCCTAATAAAGTTATCTAAAGCACATACATGTAGCAACCACAAAGGGAGTTGTAACATTCTTAGGTTAGGTACACTTGACTAACACAGGCCGAATTATCAAACTTTTAAAATCCATGTCTAAAACTAAGCCCCGCCTGCTTTCTACCTATGACAATCTATTTCCAAACCCTCATCTGAGTTTAAGTTGAAATTGCTCTATTAATTCTACTTGGAATTCAGAACATGATGTCAGATTAACAACCCATCGTACCCGGTATTGAAGCGATGGATAAAGGTACTACTAACGGTGTCGAGCCGTGGAGGCAAACTCGCCTCGGAGACGAACCGATTTACTGCGCCGCACCGACTCCGTTGACCCCGGACGACATTATCTGCCTAGGTTCAGACGAAGAACTCGATGACGACGAAAAGCTTGCAAGGAGGCTAAGATATGAGGCACAGGCACTGCGATATCTACAGGGTAAGCCGGTGCGAGTCCTATCCGCATCTCTACATGGACCCTTCGACAAAGCCTCAGGCTGGAAGAATCCTTGGCTCCCGAAACAACCCACAACCAAGAAATCCGTTCTCAAATCATCCCAATATCCGACCAAACCCATCCCGCCGTTCAGGGATCACATCCACAAAGTTTCCCAACGATTAGGGCAGCAATATGGTAGTACGCCTGGCACCGCCAGCTCTGCGCGTTGCCATTTACCCAGTCCTGAAAGTAACCGAGAGTTACAATTCTCTAGCAATACGTCGGAGACAGAGAAGCATAGTCGAATACAGGCTTGGGCAAAGGAGGTATCAAAAGGTGCCATATTAGAGAGAGATGCTTTCTGGGCACCCGAAGTACTCCACGAAGACAATGATGAGCCTAGAAAGAAGCGACCTGCAGGGAAAGAATGGTTAAAGAAAACATCAAAGCGGAAAAGACTGAGCAGTCCACAAAGCACACACAGAGGGTCTACTCCCACGCCGCTACTGCCGACACAACCACCAGTCCGAAGTACATCGGTGCCTATAAATGCACGCTATCTCGAAAAGTCGGGTTACACAAAGCTTAAGGTCAGCCAGAGCTTCGAATTCGCTACTCCATCGTCTACTCTTAGCCCGAGCCATCGGGAAGTTAAGTACGAAAGAGAGGTTAAAGTTCCCACGCAGGGTAAGATGATGCCATCACCAGACGAATTATCCAATGGCATTCAACTAGATGTCAAGGACACGATAGTGTGGCCTACGAGCACAGCAGTTAACTCCACACACGATCAGTTCCTCTTAGAGAACAAAGAATGCAAACCAGTTTTGGATCCCGAAAGAGGTAACCATTCAAACGAGTCCTTTAAAAGTCCGATCAGTCAAGAGGCTCAGGTGGGCCAAGAAGCAGAAGAGGAACCAGCCTTCGAGAGTTATATCGACCAAAGCTTTCACTATCGAGCGCGGCTCCCGATCCAGGCCTCCCCCGTAACTGGACCGAATGTCTCAGCTATGAGCGTTCATTCTAAGCTGACTCAGACTGGAATGCCTGAGTCTCCGGGCGGCGAAGATGCAGTAGCTACCGCCATCCCCGAGAATCGGTGCCCTCTGGAGAATATTACAATGTTAGAACAGTATGTCAACATGGAATCAGTAGCTATAGCTCAAGCATCCGTGGATCTACTAGAATCCATGTGTAGCCGAGGGAAAAATGATGACATTCAAAGCGGTATGTGCCAGCCAGCACCGTCAGCACTAAATGAAGACCGGATAATCAACGGTAATAGCGATGAACAATACAAGTGCAACGAGACCATTGGTTGTACAACCGTAATAGAAACTGGGCTTTCTAGTAATCAAAAAACATATAATGAGAACCCTTATCCAGCACAAGTCGATACAACTGGCATTTCAATTTTGGCGGAGACTGCCAACGCCCTTCACACAGAGAATAGGGCTACGGAGAACGACATTCCAGACGTGGTAACCAACAACTCGCAGATATCGCATATAGTACTTAATGTTGAAACAACGAGAAACACCAATACCCTAGAAGGCCCCGCGACGCTCGAAACACATCCAACCAAATTCGGACTATTAGTAGATGAGGGGTCTACCTTGATCGGTGATCCAATGAATTTTAATCGGGCCTCGCCAATTGAGGCCAATGGTTTGCTTACACTTAACCACGTATCTAACAACGCAGATATAAAGGCCGAAGCACACGATCCAATAAGAAATTTAGTAAGAATAACACGAGAGCTAGAATCGGATACCGAATCCGATCCAGTCATAGTACCATTGTCACAATTAGAATGGGACATTGGCGAAGATAAACTGAAGATCGTAGTTGCCAACGATGAAGAGGCTCCTGAGGACACCTTGACCAAGGCCTCTCTATTAGATCCTCCAGAATCTTTTACACGAGAAAGTCCATGGGTCTCTGATTATCTTCCAGGGGCGAATCTAACAACCGAGCACATAAAGTTGGAGCCTATTGAATATGAATCCTCACGTTGTCCTTATCTGTCCCAGACAATGTTGCCAGGTTCCCAAACAGGCGGTCATGAAGTACCTAAGATTGGGCCATCACAACAGAGCCCCTGGGAAAATGAGATCTTGGAATCCGCAAAACCAGATAGGCGAGACTGGTATTCTACTACGGTTGGAGAGACGACACACGCAAACGCATTACTTAGTACAACAACATCTAAGAAACGTCGGAGTCCCTCACCTACAACAGAATTAGACATGGTGCCCCGTTCTGAATGCCCACCTATTTCGCCTACACCGGCAACTTCTGATAAAGATTCATTATTTCCACCCCCTCAATCCCCCATAGTAACTCATGAATCAGACATTCGGTTCTCAGAACATAGAGCTAGTCCTCCTACTACACCTCCTCGAATGTCTGTGCTTCACATGCGTACCCCTGACCTTGAAAGGTCGATCAAGCCATTCTCCTTATTCAATACCCCATCGCCGAAGCGCCAACGGCGAAACTCTAAGCAATATTCATCTACCAACCGTACCGTTGGGATTCTATTAAATGCCACACATTTAAACCCACGGAGTAGCGAGAAGTCGACGCGGCGAGTGTCATTCGCTCTGTTACCAGACGAAGATAATGCCGACACTCCGCCAGTATTCAACACCACGAGAGCCACATCACCCCCGCCACAGATACCCGTCAATACTGGAGACGAGGATATAGATAACCAATTCCAGGGACATTTTGATGCCATGAAGCGACGCGCCAATGATAGGAATGTCCGACTTCGACTGCAGTCACGGCTACTCCCGAGCCCCTCCCAGCAAAAGCTTACGAGCCCACATATTGGCGCGATGGCCGAAGCCTTTCGGGAGGCAGACGCATACTCAGCCTATGCACGTGAGGATTTAGTAAAGAACGAGGAGGGCTGTACTGAAGATGTTGCTGAGAATATAGTTGAGGATATGGCTGATATAGAGCAATCACCATGGCGAAAAGAGAGCCAGGGTATAGATCACGTTGCAGACGTTATGGAGAACCTGGATGAATTTATCAATGCTTGGGACGTGAACGTCGAACTTCAGAAGGCGAGACAGGAGAGGGGCAGAGACAGCCTGGATGGGGAAGCCTTCTGGTGAGGACAGATATGGCTGCATGACATGGATGTATAATGATAACATGGGATTAAGTGCAAGGAAATCATGTTGACACCCTCAGGTGCACGTTGCTGTCCAGTATGGCTAGGAGTTTGGTCAGTCACGATATGACAAATAGCATGGTTTTGGAGTAATTGAGGGCTGCATTTTGTCGTGAGGCTTTGCTTACCTTACAAGGGCAATACAATGTCCATTCATAATATAAGACTAAGTTTATGTCTAGTGTCTCCTAGGATTTCATTTAACTATAAGCATCGCTAATACAGGAGACACTAATACTTATTACATTGTAAGCAGCTTGGTCACGTTTAAGGGCTTTTCGATAAGATGACTTAAGATATAGCTACAGCAGTACCTATCATTGGCATCTCACCTTACTTTGGTAAGGGCCTAGCCCCCTTCTTTAACTATAGATACAAAATACAGTTAGCTCGGGGTTATCAGTCCTATCCATAGTATGCTTATGAAATGGTGGCTGGTAGTCAATTTCCAAGCTAGTGGCAATCCATGGGGCCTGTGTATTAAAGCTTTTTTTTCTTCATTTATTATAGTACAGTATAGCTCTATTACTTATCCTCACTAACAAGAACTCTCTGAACAGTAAACTTCACGTAAGCTGATTCCATGCTAGATATATACACAAGTTTATACTTTGCAGACTACCTACCTAACCTCTCTTATATAATATACTTGTCTCACGCGTACAATGTTTTATGCCGTTCTTCAAGAAGTATTAGGCTGCCACGAACTTATATCGTAGAACTCAAAGACTATTGAGGAGGAATAGGAAAGGCTGTTAAGGTATTGAGTATGTAGCATGGATACAGCTACGTTATGAAGGCTTGCGTAAGAGGGTTCCAATATATAAGAGTCTTGAAGGCAAGAAGGGAAAGGAGCATGGTTACCAGGGAGTGTATTCATCCATCCGCGTCTCCCTCAATTTTCACCGATCCGCCGACGGCATATGCACGGGGACGGAATTCAAGGCGAATCTCCCTACATTAGATATAGGAGCGGCGATAGGGGATAATGATTAGCCAGCCCAGCCAGCATTGGATGGAGTTTTGCTTTTTAAGAAAGTACCTAACTAAAGTATGCAGTTGTTAACAAACTCGATATATTTCATATAGCTATTTGCAAATCCTCCGAAACAATCATGAACAACAATGCAAATTGTAAAACAGGATCCGCAATTTTTGTCTCATAGACTTATGCGAGTCTATGTATTCTCTCATGATCCGATTCCAAAAAGCAATTGCCCAACTTTTGCCTCCTGCATGCAAGCTGCGTCGGCGAATAAGTTAACTCATAATTGTCCGGTATCCGGTATCTGGTATTCGGTATCTGGTATCCTCACACCGTGCTTATGTCATTACATAGTATGTCATTATGTACCTATATCCCATTTATCTACTAGTGCCGGCCTGCCACTGGCCTAACCTAGATTCTTTCCTGAAGCGAGTAAATACACTAGTTTATTGGTGCGGCGTGGTTGTCTTGGCCCGTAGGCTCTCGGCCGGGGCTTATGGATAAATAGCAATTGGGTACCTCGTACTATCGTCCTGACGGACTGTCTAACCCGCTAGCATGACTCCGTCTTCTACACTATAGGCGGTGCTATAGCGGTAGTGTATTTAGACACGACATTTGCCTCCGAGGTCTTAACAAAGTTAACTGACTACACGTGGCGCGGCTATTGCTAGGCTCGGGCCTGGCAGAAAGGGTGCGCGTCTTAATACATAGATGTCACTAAACAGCTAGTTATATACATATGTAAAGCCCTACGGAAGATTGATGGTCTGATCGGCGCAGTGGTGCTTCGTTGGACACACATACATACATACATACATACATACATACATACATAGCAAATCTAGGACGGAGAAAATCCCCCACTAATCAATATGTATGTACATACATGGTGACTTTTACCATGATCCTGTAGGATTGTATTGTATTGTACTGTATTGTATGTACACCGTACAACGGCGGTGAGAAATCAAAGTAAGCGGAACGGGATGATAACGCAATATGGGATACCGCATTACCCCCCATGTCTAGAGCTTGGGATCGGCCGCCAGAGTCGGATTTGGAAAACTGGGATATCTAGGATATCAGCTAGGAAGTGCTGAAACAGGCAGGCAGGTTTCTAGTAGCCTCAACGCTATTCGTCCTGATACACTCTCCCCCTTTGTCCCCAGGTTCCAGGCCCTCGAGGTGCAGCTCTAATTTTGATGCGGAGAGGTGGTGCAATGCTGATCTGCATTCCACGGCACTAGGGCACGTATACTATGTACGGATCTACCTTGGCTTGCCCGGATACATTGTATCGCGACATTTTAACTCCCGCCTGTGAAGTTACATTGAATTAACAAAGCCGTTGTTGAAGGAATTCGCTCCGTAAAAGTTTAACGAGAAACACAATTATAGAAAATGACACCAGAATGTATAGTCATTCGAGCAGACGACTTGGATCTCATGGGAACTCGGTATGTAGGACGACATATGGCAAAGCATAATGACGTAGAAATGGTGTGATAAAAGGAATTATAAAGAGTGCCAAGGGACGCAGCTTCGATATACATAGACTTAAACGACACCCTTTACTGCACCGTTGCGACGCGACAGTTGAAGTATACGTCGTGTGCCTGTCACCACTGAATGACAAGATCAGGAGACTTATGGTCTGAGTTGTCAAAATTAGACACATGTCATTATAACATTGCCGACTTTGACGCGAAGCGAAGAGTATCTGGAAAAAAGCGGCCCGGTCGAAAACACCTGTGGCCTGTACATACATCATAGCTTGTAGCCTGTAGCCTGTAGCCTGTAGGTCGGTCCTGTAACCCAGCTAATGCGCCTTACATAGGTAGATATGTTGGCAGCTGGACGATCTTATGTCATTTTTAGTGTGGGCTATCGCAACCCTCCCACCGTGTACGGCTTCTAGGTGATTCTAGGTATGTACGAACTTGTTGAAATAGCCGTAGGATATGTACACTAGGTATTGCTATTCTATATTCGGCATCGTACTATCACCTAGACCCATGGGCTTGGGCAGACGATGATCTTTGAACATCGCAGATATGTAGATAGTTGTTTAATACCGATCTGGTGAACTATGTAGGTAATAGGTACCCTACATACAGCTATGTATTGTATATACATACATAAAGTCGCGTGGGCCCTGCCAGGGGCTAGCACGCATACATAGGTAGCTGTGGTATCGCTATGTAGGTAGTGTATGTACATAACCTAGAGATGTTAGGTCGGAGGGTAGGAATTTGTCAAGAAACCATGGTCGATAAACTAAACATATTTCCTGATTTCGGCCATGATTGTCCGCGAAGTCGAGATATTCGTACTCGGAAAATGAAAGTACTGCATGCATATTTCTCAGAAAATAGACATTCACTTACCTTAGGTATTACATACATACCTCATACAACTACATCACACCTAATTGTACTTAGGTACCTCTGAGGTATGCAGACGGGTTTGTTGGCAGGATATGGATATGTATGCCTTGACGGAAATGGATATGCCGAATCGCATGTTTGATTATCCGAGCAAGAACCTACTGGGATAAACCCTTGAGAGACTCGAAACCATCGAACACCAATCTCAGCCTCACTGCGTTTTGAAATGCAACGGCGGGCGCAGACGCATACGCATACGGCCCCTTTGGCCGGCTAATGGACTCAATAAGCAGATTACGCACCGGGTGACCGGTCCAGAATCTTCGAGCAATTAAAAGATCGACGAAGGACATTTACCAAATGCGATTTTCGCGGTGGTACGGAGTGAAGTGGGATGATCTTTGTCGATTCTGGATGAGGGGAAAAGGGTCCAGAACACAAGCAGCAGCTTGTTCTATAACTTGTCTGCGAAAGGACTAGCGGCTGGCATGTCATCATTTCCAGAAAAGGGGGTCGCACGTGGCCTGTGCTCATGCTTGTCCTACAGGTAGGTACGTTGTATCTAGGTACTAACTATGACGTCTTCATGATGCGCCACCTCGGGTCCGCGTCAATGTGCATATGAAGGTACACATGTATGTACACATGTATGTACTTTATTAGTACCGCGCAAGTCCTGTACCACCCTAGGTATGGTCTATTTTTATGTACCTAATTGTACGATGCCATTTCGGATGTAGGTAGGTAGGTATGTATTCTCATAGGTACCTACCAAATCTGCCTTAAGCGCGGTTGAACCAAACAACCTTGCAAACATCAGATGTGAGATGAGAGTCTGATAGCTTGTGTAAAGTATTTCAAGTATTGCGAGTGGAAAAGGTAGGGGTGAAGAATGGAAGGGAAGGAAAGAGCTCTCTTATCTATTTACACTAAGTTAGGTACTTTATGACACTTGTCTCATGTCATATCATGATAGGTATTATGTCAAAAGAAAGAAAGAAGAAAAAAGAGCAAGGTTTTACCGAGTCGTCGATTTCAAGGGTCCTCCTGCTTGTTCTTTCACCCCCCCGTCAACTTTTGCCATTTCGTCATCGAGGCGGGAACCCTTTTTTTTTATTGTTTTTTAACAGGTATGTACCTTTCTTTTCATTTTATTCACTTTTTCTCCAATCTTATGTTACGTGTCAATCGAATCTGTAGGTATTCTGAATAAGATTGCTTCCTTACCTCATAATATACTCATAATACACTTTATTGTTATTTGACTAGAAAGCATTCATGCGTAACAAACCCTTCAACCCTCTAACTTGAACGAGAACAGGAAAATGAGTCCCATTTAGATTCTTGTCTAGCATTGAATAAGTGGGAACGGGCATTCCAATACATACCTAGTCCCTGAAAAAATAGAATAGGAACAAGCGGCTTATGGATTGCCTACCTAATAAGGTAGTGTCTATTGTCCGTCTCCACGCTTTCGAGGCGCCGTGTCTCTTACCCCTTCGACCCTTGCCGCCGTCGCAAAGTAGCGCCATTGAATCGCAGATCATTACCTCAGGCGACATATTCTCTTGCCCTAATAGGATCCAGAAACTCCCGTAGTGTCGACCCTCTATAACACCCAAGTTTACCAGTCTTACCGGGCAGTCTTACCAGTCTGTACCTTGGTTCTTCTTAAGTACCTGCACGAGACACCAACTAAATAACCCAGGTCAGTCGCCTCGCTCCAGTCAGGCAACCCGAGACCGCCCCCATCTACGTACATCTATCAAGTCAGGGCAGACTCTCGTTCTATTTCCCGTGCGACCAAGTAGAGATCGCCGTGGTCCAGGCCTCATTGTCCATTCCACACACACACGCGCACACCACCACCACCGTATCGACTGGGCCACACATTAAAAAAGCAAAAGAGTTCCTAAAGCCTGAAAGAG